CCACAATTCACGTTTATACGTCAATTCCATCGAAATGACACCCGGCAATGCGATCCGTTCGTCCTAATTCACAAAACTCACAAAGTTACCGAAATACCCCCAGATCACCCCGTTTCCCCTGCTGATCTACCCCCAGGTACCCAGTATCCCCACCCTAGCATCCCTACTATTATTCTACCATTTTTCCGTATTTTTATCGGCCACCGTTCTATCCCTATTCACCCTACGATCATCCCTGCCCATATTCCCCATTTTATCCATAAATAACCCAGCCCGTTTCACCATATACGCCCTACCTACCCGCCCTACCCATTCCCCAGCACCCCTACCCCATCCCCTACCCCCTACCCTACCCCTAGGACCACCCCCGTACGCCCTACCCCATCACCCTGGGCCACCCGGCCACCCAGAATCACCCCCCGGCCGCCCCAGTAGCCAGCCCAGTACTGGCATTTATAATTCTTGGGCCAGAGGAACCTTTGTAAAGGATCCTATCCTTACTAGCAGTACCTTTATAAATGGCTTACATCTACGCCTGGATAGCATCAACTGACTTGTCAGTCGTCCAGGTAGATGCGTAGCTTGCAATGACAATGGCATCGACAAGCTCCCGCTCTGTCGCTGATCGATCCTTCTCCAGCCGCTCCTTCTCAATGCGCCCCATCTCCAGCCGCTCCTTCTCGAGGCGCTCCTTCTTGAGGTGCTCCTTCTCGAGGCGCTCCTCCTCGATGTGTTCCTTCTCTAGACGCTAACAACAGCAAGAAACATAAGTATGTAGACGGGTGATAGATGTAAAAGGGAGAACGAACCTTCTTCTCCTTCTGCCGACACCGGTAATCTTGTTTCCGCAGCCGATTCTTCGCTCTTGTTCGCTCTGCTCGACGCAGTGCTCGCAGTGCCTCTTGGCGCCTGATGGACTCTCTTCTCTCTCTCTCTTCCTCCTCACGCTCGGCCCTTGTTGCAAGCCGTTCCCGTTCAGCGTCCTCACGAGAGACCTTCTTGAAGAACTGGGTGAGCGTTTGCTGGCTGGCCTTTGTATTGATACGACGAGGAAGGCTGTGTTGCTGTAATTGAGGTGGCACTGGTTTGAGATCGTGAGGTTGTTCGAGTTCTGGCGAAGATCGCGGAGGCGATGATGATGGGAGCATAGAGGTGATAGGGGAAGTCAGAAGCGGAGAGAATGAAGGTGATGTGTGGGAGGTTCCTGTAGGTGACGTGTGTGTGAGCAGTTTGGAATGCCAATATGATAAAGAACATGTGACACATACCAAAGCCATAGACAGCACCGAAAAGCTCATCCAATGAATCGTCTCCATCGTTGTCATCAGAGTCGCCGTCGGAACCGACAAAGATGAAAGAGGAGCCAGAAGAGGTGACTGAGTCAGATGGGGATGATGAGCGAGTAGCGATAGGAGCCGGGGGCGAGGGTGGTGAACGCGGAGCAGAAAGAGGGCGAAACACAGTCTCATGGTGCGAAAGACGTCGACCATCATGACGGGCTTGAATGATATCGGCAGACAGTCCTAGGTCCTCCTGAACGATGCATAAAGACGAGAAGTCAGATAATGGTCGTGAGATCTGTTAGTTATGGATAGTACACACCAGCGAGAAGAAACTGCCAGGACGAGTGACTAAGAATAAGGCCCACTCCGCACGGAGAGCGGCCTTGTACATAGGATCCCATGGTGCGACATTCGGAAAAACCGCATGTTCGATGGTATTGAATGTGACGTCGCCACAGGAATAACCGTCATCTTGAACCTCGTGTGGAAGCTGGTAAGCTTTCGAATCAAGGGTGGCGCCGAGTTTGTTGGCCAGACGGTTATAGCCCTTCCAATCCTTGTCCGAGACATCAATCGGCCTTGAATGGCGAACGAGAGAATCGCCAACAAGCAAATGCTTATTCTGGAGATCGATCTTCGCGGCAAGCCAGTGGTTTGAAGTGCAAGCGTGAAGAGGATTGATGATCGAGGAATAATGGCCAGATCGAATGAGATTGGCGACGTTATGCATGTGTTTGAGTTGGTGCGGCTTGTCAGAATCGAAGGCGTCCCATGCGAGATCGTTCTGAGAGTAGAGTAGGAAAGGGAATGAGAAGGTGAAATCTTCGATGAGAATGGACTTGTCCGCGGGGCTAGACGGGTGTTCTGCCCACTGCTTCAGCACGATCATGACTTTGTTGACGATGTCATCCGAAAGATCGTCGTCAGAGAAGAGAGTGAGAAGGCCATGAGTACCAGTGATCGAGTAAGGACCGAAAGAAGAATCCCATCCGATGACGGACCATAATCGTGAGAGTGCAGCAGGAATGTGTTACGACTGGGCTTAAGCTAGGCTTAAGGGTGGTGTCGGTTTCGTGAAGCGGGGAACGATTGAGTCGTTCGGTGCCGTCGGCTTGGGCGATCAGCGAGGGGCTTCGGAGGTTCCGGATCCGGGGTTCTGGCTCGGTTCGTCTAGACGCGGCGTCCGGTCTAGGATCGAGTTCGTTCAGATGAGGCGTCCTCTTCTGAGGCAGGCGTCCTGCTAGAGCTGATGTAGATTCGAGGTTCTGATGGTAAAGCTCTTCAGTAGTCGAGATTCGAGGGGTATCGTCTTGAGGTCGCACAAGACGATATCGAGAATTCGAGTCGTAGCTGTGCTAACTTTGTAAAGTTCTGCGGTAGTCACCGCTGGAACCTTTACAAACCTTCTCCCCTATAAGGGGCCCTCTTAGCACGCATCCTTTGTAAACCTTCACTTCGGGCTTGCGCGGCTCATCATCCGGTGCCGCTCTGCTGTTCTTTCCGGCACGGGCGTCGTCACCATTGGCTCCGGCATTATCCACGACGTCCCGCGCCGTATTCCCCGTTGGGCTGGTCAGTTGCGCCCTGCTTCTCTTTGGCGCCGTCGCTCACAGCGGCGCCCCCGCTGTTGCGCGCTTGCGCGTTCTTCTCTTCTTGACCACCATCAACATCTCTATCAACATCTCTATCACCCCGCTTTCCAAAATAGCTTCTTTCACTTCCTCTTGCACCGTCGTCGTCGTCGACGGTAATGCCCCCGCCGGTACGCACACTGGCCACGAGCTCGTCGGGATCGTCGAGCTCGGACGCGCGTTCCACGCTGCCGATAGTCGAGATCGCCGTAGCAACCCCTGGCGCTTCTCTGACGAGGGCGTCCTCGCCCTTGGGGTCCTCACCGCCCTCATCATGGCCGCCTTCATCGCCACCACTATCTGGTACGCCATCCGCCAGTGAGCTCTCACGGCCCAAATCACCGCCGATCCCGTCGCCCACGCCGTCTACTCTCCCTGCCGCTCCTTTCCTTCGTTCCCGGGAGATCGAACGCCGCCTTCATCTTTCCTCCCCTCCACCGCCCTCTTCAACCTCTTCTGTGGCTCTCGCTTCAAGTTCCAATGTCCCGAGTCGTCGTCGCGCCAAGGAGGTACGTATCCGTGTTTTTTCTTCCATGCCTATATGGCCATTACTGACTCTTCGCCCCTTTACAGTTCAACCCCTTCGACGCGATCGATCCCAGCGCCTCTCGTAAGTTTCACACCAGAATTCATATCTTCGCCCATGTGCAAGCCGATGGCAAGGTATGTACAATTTTCCTCTTTGTTCTCTTGGTCTCTTACTTATTTTCTTTGACAGTCTAGCTTCTTAAATTTCCAAAGTACGCCGCCCACTGCATCCCCGTCCGCGACTACTAACGCGGACCTTAGAGCTCCCCGCCGTCCCCATCGACCACAAGGATTGCGGAGCGGTCGCGACGACAACCATACCATGGGGAAGTTCAGACCCCAGGTGTACTTGTAAAACTTGCGTGCGTCTTCGGGGTGGAGGTTAGGGAGGCTTTTAACTTCGCGTACGATCTGCTCCGTCAATTTCTTTCTTTCTCCTATTGCCGTCGCTACTTCCCCGCGCTGTCGTATGCTTTGTTTGCTTGCCCACGGACTATAATTTGTTTGTTTTGCTTTGCTGTCGATGTTTTGTTTTGTGTGGCCCACGTTCAAAAAAATTCATCTTTGCGATTTGTTCGAAGAGGCGTATACGAGGGATAAAAAAAGCCTGCAACTTTATTGCAAAAGATACAAACAATCAAAACGTACATATTAGTCGAGCCTCTGCTGGTCGAGCACAGATGCGCGAGCAAGGAAAAGCCGAGCCACCTGCTGTTTGGGAGCCCACGACTTCGCGAATGACTCATGAAGCTGCCTATACAAATCAGCATGCTCCTCTCTGTAGGCATGAAGGCCCTCCTGCAACCCCCATTCCGTCGCCGTCCGCTCAATCTGACCGCGCCACCACACTTCACGATTCTCGAACGTGCGCAGCGAGCGATTCATCTCCTCCAGGAGAAGGCGAATCTCCTCCTCCCATCTCTGCGCGCGCGCGCGCGCCTTCAACCACTCAACCCGAACGCCTTACAGAACAATGTAAGGACATATTATGGCCAACTACAAAAAGAAAAGACTCACCGTCGTTCATGTCCGACGTCAACGCAGCATCCATACCCGCCATCTCCTCCTCATCATCCAGAGCACCCGTGTACCAAAGCCATGAGATCTTCCGTCTGCTCTCACCGGACGTGATTGGGATGTCGGCGCGACCGTGGCGAACCAAACGCCTCGTTCTCTCCTCCTCCAACCTCTGGATCTCGGTCTGAACCCTCTCTCCCAACCCTACTACGTCCCGATCTTCCAGCACTCGATATCTCTTCGCCCACGCTCCCTCCGTACCCTTCAAGGCCGCATAAGCCGCCCGTGCTTTCCTGTACGCAGATGCCGCCGCCGAAACCTTCTCATCCACCGTATCCTGCATCGACCTCGCCCGCGTATTTCCCCGTTGTCCCGTTACATTCTTCACCTTCAGCTTGTTGAGATAAACCCGGAGGTGGAGCTGGCGCCGAAGCTCTTGCACATGGTCGGCACAGCAAGCGAGGCGAATGTCGGCCTCCATCTCGATCAGAGCGGGGTCGCAGTAGGTAGGGCGAAGGTCGCTAGGGATATCGGAGGGCATGTAGAGGTGGATGGACTGCGGTGCACGGGTGCTGTGGTTGGATGCTGAAGGGTTGTCCTCGGGCTTGATGAGAGCGGAGACGTGGGGCATGTGTTGGCTTTGTTCATGGCGAAAACGCTGCAAGCGTCGGAGGAGGGACGTTTGATCGTCAGTGAACTTTGTGTCTTGCCTTATCGTGTTGACGCTCTTTGCACGCTCAGTTAGAGCTCGCCTGTAGATACGTCGTGAGTGGACGCTGGCCAGAACGAAGGTACGCGATGACTTACTGGTCGGCCTCAATCGAAATTCCTAAGAGAAGGAAAGAGTGGCGGCCTGGTATGATGTTTGTGGACTGCGCCTTGACCAGCTGGGCCTCCTCTTCCGTGAGTCGCTTGGTGATCGCCGAAAGCGTGAGTTCTAAGAAGAAAAGGGAGGAGTGAAATCAATAACAACGACCAAATACACTTATTCAATAGAACCTTACCTTCTCCGGCGACATCATACGGGCTCTCGTCGTTTGGATCCATCTCCCTCTCCTCGTAGGCGGTGATTGCGGTGGTCCAATCTTCCAGTTGCTGAGCATGCGACGCCTCGACATCTTGCGTGAATTCCTCGAAGATCTCGATGTGCTCTCTGCCTTCGGCCAAAGCGTGCGTCAGGCGCCGTAAGAGCTGGGTACCTAAAGATATCGTGATTGAGTTAGCACGAATCCCGAAGAAAAAGAACCAGACGAGCTTAAAGTGACCACTTTTCGCCAATTAGAGTGGCCACAGTGGTCGTCCAACGTGTCGTGGCGTGACCCCGGCCCCATCTCTCGTGTACTGCCTGCAGCGGGATTTAACCCAGCCCAGTTCCGCTCGATCGACTCTCCGTCCGTCTCGCCTACCCCGGGTTTGTAGTTCATTGAGTGAGGGGCTTGACATCGATGTTCATGCGGCGGGAGGTGGAACTTGGGGACCCCAAACTGAATCGCATCAGGCGGGAGGCGGAATCGTATACGAGGAGGAAGCCCTGCGAGTCGGTCGAAGAAGTGGATCCGCCATTGGCAAGCTATGTCGTACGAGAGAAGAACCTGGCCAGCTCGAATGCCCGAAGTTGCGGCACAGAAGATAAAGTCCATATTACAGAAACTTGATAATCAGGCCTTGTGAGCTGCGCTGGATAATACGGGATATAAAAAATAGGGACGCTTACCGTTCGCCCCTTTGCAGATCGCCGATCCCATTCGGCCTCCAGAACGAGTGGCGAGAACATATCACCGCACCAACGCCAGTCGAACGCAGGCCCTTGGTGTTCCTATTATTTGCTTTTGCGAGGGCCGCAAAGCCCGAACAGGTGCTAATCTTAATTATAAGAAAGTTCAGCTGGAGATACAAAGGTGGCGATGCAAGTTCTCAGGGCTCACCTCTTCTTGCGTTGCATATTGCATGATATGGTCGCGATACTCCCCGTCGTTCACAAAGTATGCCCAACCAGAACCGAGTGAAGGATCTCCTCGAACGCTGGACCGAAGACGGTTCTTCAGACGGAAGTTGGCATCCATCGCAAGGATAAGTCGGTAAAGCCACCTGAGTTGTTTGCTCGGGTTAGTGCCTAAATACGGTCACAACGAAGATGATCATACCTGTCTCTTGGCGGGACGGCGTCCCAACCCGGAAGAAGATTGATTCCAGGGTGCGGGCAGGCAGGACAGATGACGGCGAGGCTTCCAGGCTTGGTGCCACTAACGCCGGTAGGATCGTGGCCACGCCCTGCTCGCTTGAGCATTTTCAAGTGGCGCCACTCTCGTACCATTACCATGAAAGGACGGAGGCGAGACTGCACAGCAAGGAAGATAAGCTGCAGGTGATTAGTATCCCGGAGATGAACGACTCACCGGGAGGTCAACTAGGCCGGTGTTGTCAGTGGCTAACTCCAGGGCGCGTACGAAGTCATAGCCCGTCAATTTGCCTTGGAGGGAAAGGAGGTGGAAGAGCCGCAGGGCCTCAAACGTTGCGCCAGTGCGAGGATCCAAAACCGTGGCAGGGAAAATACCAGCGCGTAAGAGTTGAGTGTACCGAGGAGCGTCAGTTGAGGAACAATTACACTCGCAGACCGTTATGGAGTGTATGCCGTTCGTGTGAACGACGACAAAGTCCGTGATCGCAGCGCGAGTTGGGCATTCGGTTCCGGGGATGTGAGGGCCAAGCTGAATGAAAATTCCAAGTGACGAGAGACGTTCGAGAGCAAAATAACGGCCATTCCAGCGCTGTAAGTATGCGATCGTCAAGTCAGCGGTGAGTTGGAAGGCATGAACGGAGAGCGCACCTTGATACGATGCAAAGGATTGGATGTATGTGCAAGTCGCGCACAGCTCTCGCACATAGGGACTCGTCCAAAACAGTCGTCACACCGGATGACACAGGGAGATGTAGACCCGCAGACAGGGCACAAGGGTCCCGCCTTGGCCCAATACCCTCGCCCATCAAATCGCAAAAGCTCGTCGAGGAACTCTTGAACGTGTGGGTGCCAGGTCTGTAACGGATTATCCTAAAGATGCATTAGCTAGATATGTGTGACGGAGGCCGAGAGATCACGCACCCCTGGTGCAGTCCATTCCTGACGGCCTTCATCCTTCTCCGGCTCGGCAAGCTGTCCATCTTCCGCTACTTCGCACAGTGGAGTGCTCTCGTCGTCTGAGTCGATGGGATCCTCGACGAATCTGTCGCCCTCATAGTCATCGTCGGGTTCGTCTGCGTACGACGTGGGCGCGAGCGGTTCCTGTGCTGATGAGTCGGCGGCGTGGAGAGGGGGTGCAACGGGGATACGATCCTGGGTAACTCGAAAACGGCGCATATCCTCGGAGGCTGATAGTGTGAAGGCCCTGGTGGTTTCGATAGACGTGTTCGTCGATGGGTCATATGCCTTACGGCGAGAGCCTGCGCGCCTCATTATAGACGATGTACTGGAGGGTAAATTGGGTAGCGGTGAATCTAAAGGTGACCGTTGAGCACACTGACCTTTATATACCGTATTAGAGACCTAGATACCTTAGAATAACTAGCAACATACCTTGACGGGTCTTTCTCGATACGAAAAATTCTCAGTCATCTCTCAACCCGACGATTTCTCGGGCTTCTCTCGACCCGATGTATCCTCAATCTTCGGAGGAAATGACCAAATCAGTGGAGGGGAATGTATGCACATTCTATCTATCCAGAAAGCAAAGTTCCCGACAGTTGAAGAGATCGAAGAGAACCGATAGACGTTGGCGCATGAGGTGGTATGATTGAAGAGAGTGAGTGGCACTCGTTGATACGGCTCCGGTGCATGTGACTTGATCAACAAGCCGCAGTGTGGCACTTAGGCATTTTCGACGGCACTCAATTATCACTCGGGCCTCAAGAACGAACACATTGCAATTAGAGTAAATGTAAACTAAGCCACAAGATGAACAATAAATGAAAATAAGTATACTACAAAACAACTCTATCACTCATCGCCGCCCTCTACGATATCCACCACCTCCATGCCAGGCTCGGGTACAATGTAAAGATGTTCGAGTATATCCGAATGAAGCTCGTGGACCTTCGAAAACATTCCACACGCGGACTTCCAGCGCTCATCCGCCTGCTTCTTGAGCCGCCGCCACTCCGCTGGATCCTGCTCCTTTACCTCCTCCTCCGTCCGATACCCATAGCTCCACCATCGGACAATCCCTCCGGGCACATACTGAGTGAAGGACTTTCGTTCTTCGTTCTCCGGGTCCGCAAGCGGCGTATTACCGTGAGCGATGGCTGCCGAGGGGATGAGGATGGTGGTGCCAGGCGGGAACTCGATGACAATCTTCCAGTCCCAGAGGATGAGGTGTCCGCCTTTCTTGTAATCGTACCGACCTAGGGCATGAATAGCGCACATGCCGAATATGATGTTGGCGTGATCGCGGTGTAATATCGTGGTTACGTTGTTCCCGAGGTTAAAATGGACGGCGGCGAAGACACTGAACGGGAATGGGCGAAAGAGGGAGGGAAGACAGAGAAGCTCGATCATGCTTTCGACGGCGAGGAGGCAGTTGTCAAGAAACCTAAAGGCTTTCGGCGACGTGAAAGCATAAGCGGCTGCGGAGAAAGCTCAGCGGCGTGCAGACAAGCCGGGGTTACAGCGGAGACTCACTACTGCCATAGTGTGCAATCTTCCGAATGTTCGGATCCTTGCACAATTGGTCAACCGCCCTGGCATTCTTCTGACTCTTCATGTCCATAGGCATGGGGTACTGAGTATGCAAATACTTGGTGAGCTTATGGTAAGAATACGCAAAAGAATGAGAAACGCACCTGCTGTCCACCACCCATCGAGAAGCCGGTGAACAACGACGTGAACCAGCCGCGCCTACCATTAGGATCGCACTGAGGCGCACCCATGGCTTTGAGAGCCCTGTCCATCGCCGCGCACGCCCCTTTACAGACCGTCTGCCACCGTGAGTCCGCAGGAAACCCGAGGCAACGCGCCACAATGTTGCCTAGGCGATCCACCAGAGCAAAGTTCGTTCTGCAGAACATCAGCATTCGTCAAGAAACCTAACGCAAAGAGAAACATACGTTCCATCCCATTCAACCAAAGTAAAGCCACATTCCTGCACCAACTTCTCAGCAGTCCAGCCTCCCACGTTGCTCGCCTTGAATTCGCGAAGACCAATCCAGGCGCCAACGGCATGAGCAAGCCTCGAAACTGAGAACCAGCTCATGCTAAGGGTGTCCGCGATGTTGACAGTGCTGTACTTCTCAACCAGGCGTTGGGAGAATGTGAGAGGCCCTCGAGTGAGGGGGTGGCTCATAGATTCAGCATGTTCTTGGTAAGCAGCGTGGCGCAGGTTGCGGCGCTTTCGAGTCTTGCGTTGGTTGCGACCCTTTGGATTTGGGTGCGGAGAGGCCGCCGGTGAAGAAGTGGCTTGGATGCCGGAGGAGTTGGAAGGGGTGCTGGAAGGGTCAGATGGGCCGCCGGAAGAGTGAGAGGGGATGCCGGAAGAGCCGGAGGGGATGCCGGAGGAATCAGAGGGGGCACTGGGCGCTCGCCGAGAGAAAGAGACAGCACTTGTGCACGAAGTTGCCAGGAAGTACATCCTGGAAGCAATAGAGGTAGCCGAAGAGGTTGTGGCAGGAGCGGATGGAATGTGGCGGGGCGATGGTGAAGAGGGCGGAGGCGGAGGCGGCGAAGAGAACGGGGACGGAGATAGAGACTCGTCAAGCAACGGGGATGCAAAGGAGTCGTCATCGAAGTCGTCATCGAAGTCGACAGCGACCGACGCGTCTTCATTGTCGTTGTCGTTGGTCCGGTCGGCTACAACGGCAGCTTGGCGAAGTGCGCGATCGAGGAAAAAGTCCTCGGAGACTGTGACGAGTCCATTCAATGACTCCGGGGTGAGCCAAGGAGTAAAGACTCGAAGCTGCCGTTTCTAAGTGAGCAAAAAGTGAGAACACGTCGGAGAGAAACCAGACAAGCACACTTACGACTCTTTCCATTCTCGGTTCGCCGCCGCTAGGAAGAACGCGTCAGGGACCAATAACGCGTCGCAGTAAATAAGCAAAGGGTAAAAAAAAATAAAGACAGGCTTGGGATACCATGGCAATAAAAAAAAACGCGTATAAACGCGTCGAAACGCGACTCAAGATGAACCCCTGCGACCCTAAGGGAGCCGAAAGTCTACTCCTACAGTAGGTGAGCAGGGGAGTACTCAAGAGTAGAGAAGGCAAAATGATGGGGGGGAAGAATAAGAGAAAAACATTCGCGGATTAGGGCACTCACCTCAGGCCGTATCCAGAGCGAGATGGTAGTAGAGGGGAAGGAGGAAGGGGTGAAACACAAAACAAATATGCGTCCCTATCGAACTGAGGTAATTTAAATTTAAACTCCGCCCTGACCGCGGCGCGCGCCCCAAAGTCGCCTGCGTTTTCTTCGACGACATATTGAAACTTTGGTGTGGAACAAAAAAAACACGGCAAAATTTGAGAGTCATGTTGAAGTAAGCCCTAAACCGAAAATCATTTTTGTTTTGCGTCCAGTGTGGACATTCCAAATGATTTCGAGACTGTCCTGGAAACCCGTTCGTGTTCTCAGTAAGTTCAAGTCGAGTACGCCTCATGTGAGCACTGGTGACGGTTTGCGTCATCGTCCTCCCTCGGTTGCGCTCTTTTATCCTCCGAGTGCTCACTGCTCTACACACTTGCTCTGTTCTATCATATATTTCATCTTCTTCCCTGACCCACAAGCCGACCTTCGAATATAACAAGCACGAATTCGAACCGCCTTCAAGTTCTGTCGGCAGTCTCCGAATTCGAACATACCTCTCGCACCACGGCCTGCACGATGGCTAAAGCAGACACCACAACCGCAAGGTGCTGTTCATGTTCTTGGGCTAAAGCTGTTTTACTGAATCTTCACCATTCATCTAGGCCATCGAAAGCACCTTCTCGCCACACACGCCGTAACTTCCTGGTCTCAGCTCTGGGTAGACGCAAGATCGGAAGGGCTCAGCGTGATGCTATCTTAGCTCGCAAACAGAATGAATACGACGGCATATCTGGGTGCGTGTTTCGGTCATCTGTTATTTGCATGTTCTGACTGCTTTACTTGTCCTTTCTGAAGTACTTACAACACTCCGATCGCCTTGAAGGTCTGGGATGATGGAGATCCAAACCGAGATGCGGACATGGCCTTGGTCGAGGAATGTGCTTGGGAGATTGTCGGAGAACGCCTTTGTGTTATCTTTAACATTTCAGACCCACAAGATATGGAACAGGCGCGTTCGGCTTACATACGTGAGCTGGAGGATACTCTTCGGTGGGAAGTACAGCAAGCTGAGCAGGACATCAAGACGGTGGACAAGTACTCCCGGCACTTCGACGACTCAAAATTCCAGAGAATGCTCCACTCCCATCGACGTACGATCGCCGCGTATCATCAGACGGTGGACTTGTTGAAGCAGGGCAAGCAAGCCTACATGGCGGCAATGAAGGATAGCGTTCTCATATTTGAAGGCCACAGGTGCGTTGCTTCCGTATTCTACCTAGTCCTCCGAGTCACAAGCCTCACCTCCTCTTGTTAGTGTGAACCGCAGAGAGTTCCGATCACATTACGGGTGGTAGCTTTGGCGGCAAACCAGGTTTCACTGGTTCATTCTTTGTTGGATAACTCATTACTTCTCGTTGCGTCTTGCATATGCCATGCCGCAGGTTCTGGATCATGCATAAAACAAATTCTATTCGAGAGATTATGACGCGTGAAAAAAGAGAGGTAACATGAAGATAGGAATAGAAGATTCATAAGATTCAGAAAGGGGGGGGCGCAGCGATGCTGCAACGCGCAAAAGGAGCACTAATTATGTAGGACGCGAGGCCTGATGTCGGCGAGGCTAGTTTGTGCGTTTAGCCCTAGATAAAAGATATTTGGCAATGGTGAGCGACGCACGAAGGACTATGCAGAAATATGCACCTCTTCGACCGGCAGGCACTCAGCTGCTGCCCAGATGCATCATCGTCTCCCCATGTTCGCTTCCGAGCATCAGTACCTGCAGCCGCCGTACGAGATGACATAGCCGAACCCTCTCTCGCCCGCGTGATACGTTTACCCTCGCGGGCTGTGGAGCTACTAGGCTCTGCGCTCGTACGGGCTATATCCCGGTCCTCATTGTCCGCAGAACGACCGCCCGCGCCTTCCCTCGCCGTTCGAATCAGCTCCCACAAAACCCACTGTACGTCCTGAATGGCCTTCAGCCAGCCCATAAGATACTGAGGCTGCACCATGGTTTCCTCCATCTTCAGACCCCACCAACAGATCATAACCACCGCGACCACCAGGCCGCTCTTCCCGTTACAGCGGATGCTGTCCCAATCAACGTCGCTCTCCGCGTATCGATCTGGCTTGCCATCGTCACCGAACGCGCGACCAGACGGCTGTATGGCACACCACCAAGACCAGAACGACTTCTCGAACTTATCGAGCGGTCCAATGTTGAACTCTCTCCAGGCGCGGCGGTTCTTGAACCATTCCGATATGCACGGGTGGCGAAGATTAGCTTTGCCGAGAGAAACGGAGGGTGCCTGAAGAAAACAGAGATAGCAAAAGAACGTGAATAATGTAGCTAACAAAGAAGAGGAGAACTTGACGCACTTTAAATCCCTGGCTCTCCTCAAAGAGATAAAGATCCTTCGTTAAGGACTCAAACTCCTGGCCCAGAACCGTTGCTGTTGCGAAGTACTTATATCCGTCGACCCACCAATTTTGGAGGTCTTGGTCGTCGATGTTTCCCCATGCCATGATCGGGTGAGTATCGTACTGGGAGCGGGTCGGGGCCGGCGGTGCGAGCGAAGCAAGAGTGGGTACTGGTTCGGTAACGGACGGGGGCAAGGCGGTGTCCGTGATCGCGCTGTCTGGTGTAGGAGGAGGAGGGAGTGGAATCCGGGAAGGGGAGTAGTCGGGGGCCGGGAGGCCAGGGGAAGCGGGCCTGGATGTATGATCGCACGCATTGGGATTTGAACCAGGAGGTGGCGGGGCATTGGGTATGGCCGGCAGGACATTGGGCTCGGATGTCGTAGGTTTGAGCGTAATTGTTTCGGGAGACCGTGTCGTCGGGATGGATGCAGCAGCGGCGGGTGGTTCAAGATCGACGAGGTGGGTAGTAACGGAGGTTGAGTCGGAGGGAGGGATTTCCGGGGCCGTCGAGGTCAAAGGTATCGACGGTACAGTATCCTCTGTGGAAATAAGAGCATAAGTTTCGAGAAATATGGTTAGCGAGGGAGTGAACCGCAGTAGAAAGCGAGCGCACCAGTATTTTGCTCCGGGGATGGGGTGCCACCCAAACTCTTGGAGAGTGGCACCCCTGTATCGAGCGAGGCCGTCTTCTCTCCTGTCTGGACGGAGTCTGTAGGGTTTGATGCAGTAGGAGAGGAAGGAGTCAAAGCTACGAGGGACGTGGAGAGGCGGGGAAGCGGACGAGGACGAGGACGAGGATGCGGCGGTAGGAGGGAGGGTTCGGGCGCTGAAGTCGACTCCGGCTCTTTCCCGGACTGATTAGCGCTCGATGCCACGTGTAGCGAACTTCTCTCCCAATCTGTTTCTTTCACGAGCTGCATGGCCTCGTCCTCTCTGTCGACGCTTTCGCCTCGCTGCTCCCTATGCGTCTGTACATCTACGGATGCCCCGGATAACTGTGCGGTATCTTGCTCTGGTATACCACCGCTGGAGTTTTGCTGCTCCATTCTCGCTTCTCCCTCCGACTGGATCAGAGGGCCTTTGCCTCGCATAACGTCGCGGCGGTGTTCCTTGTCTTTTGCAGCTGTCGGAAGGTCAGGTTGAGTACTTTTTTACTGTTCACTGTCTACGGGTGCTACTCACAGAAGCATATATCTGCGAACGTCGTGAACGTGCTTCGTGCTGCGTTAACCCCGGTCAAGTCGTACTCAGGCCATGTCTTTAGGAGAGCCCCGCGAGTCTTGCCTTCGTGAACGCTGAGTGTACGTCAGGACAGGTAATTGGACTAGATTATTGGGACTTACACAACGGATCGTACGCTTCCATCTGCTTCCAACGGTGCTCCCATAAATATACTTACCACCAATCCGAACTTCAGAGAGAGAAGCTCCGCCATCGGTTGCAAGACTTGGAAAGCTTCACCGAGGGACCTATCGCGCGTATTCAATCAGCAGCCTATCCAAAACGACAATTCTATTGAACCTCAGACCATTCGTAAGTCTTTCCCTCCCCTTGCTTCACACGCAACATGCATTCGTACTCTGCCTTCTCCCGCTCATACTCCTCGTCCCTCTGTCTAGTCAGTGTCTCCCTAAACTCCTCGTCCTCACGCTCCCAGCACCAACACGCCGTCCGCAACTTCTCATCTACCGGAGGCTTCAATGGGACTTCCTTCCCCTCCGCCCTCAGCTTCTCCGCCCGCTGCGCCCAATCGTTCCGGAATTGCGCGTCGATCCGATCGTCCCAGTGCCTGCCGGAGTAGAATTGGACAATCTGGGCGCGACGTGGAGCAGGGACGACAAGCTCAAGGAGCTGCTTCAAGAGAGGTTCCCAGTCGCCCCTGTCCGTGGCGCCTTTGCCCTTGGAAACTTTGGCGCCGTAATGCTGGAAGTAAGCAATCACGAGCTACGCTCGAATTAGCATCCGGCGAGTGTTCAAAATCTCGAATATCTGAACTGATCACATACTAATCGGGACTGGTCCCATATCTCCTTCGTCCACCAGAGGTCTTTCGGGTCAACTTGATCGTCGGCGTTAAAGTCAATCTCCGGAAAACTGTCGACTGAGGTGGGTTCTGGTGAGCTTTCCTCTGTCGCCGAAGGTGCTTGTGGAGCAACTGAGGGGGCGTTGGCTGCATTTCCTGCGCGTGCGGGACCATTTATGCTTCCAGCGGTATGCGTCGACTCGCCATCCACGACGTTGACGTTCGCGGTCGCAGTATCGTCCTTGTTGCCCGTAGCGTTCGGAGCAGCGACAGGGGGGCTATCAGCGGCTGGCGGATCGGTCGTATGGGACGAAGAATTGGCTATGTCGTTAGATGCACTAAGGCTGACAGACGCTACGGTAGCTACCGCTGCGTTGGGGTTCGGCGGCGCGTCCGTTGTGCTATGCGCGTCACACCCTGCAGGATTACTTGGCTCACCGCTCTCGGTGGGAGCTAGACGCAGGGTGGTGGTGAATGAGCAGACCCTTCGCGTGTTGTTCTTAGAGATGAATTACAGAAGACTTACCCTGTTGCTGGCCTGCCTGAGGCGGAGGCATCCAGTTTTTGAAGTACATCAAGAAACTCCTGTTGACTTTGTTGTAGAACCTTGTGGCGACCGTACGCCCGCTCCCACGAACTTCCGCAAGGTAGTAAGGCAGGAGACGAACCAGGAATGCGATCTGAATGGCTGGTAAACGCGGTGCACGTCCAGGAGGGCGAGAAGCACCATCCTTGGGCGCCCTGTTTCTCTGTTTCGCGTTCTGTTTCCCGGACATGAGGATGAGAATAGTCAAGTAGCGGCCTGTGGAGTAGTTGGTGGAGACAAGAGTGTAGGGGTTGTAGAGGTCGACTTCAGTGTCCCACAGAAGATTTGTAAACTTGGAGAGTTGGAGCCTGCGGCATTGATTTGGACACTGCACCCATGCTATTGGTTCGGAAATAAATTCGCGTACCTATATCCCTTGTAGTTAATGTAAACACTGAAACACATCTCTTGCCCATTGCTACCGGAGTTAGCTCATCTTGAAAATATTACGTCAAGGACTTGCAGGACAAACTCTGAAATGTACAAGAGCAAATCCTTTTTCCATTCAAGCATAGATACTTGACAGGACTACATACAGGAGAAAAGGTCCACAAGTAGCATTGAAAACAAGAAAAGCGAACAAGGTAGGAGAAGTAGGAAGGAGAAAAGAAGCGGAGAGAACATCGGAAGACGCGGAGATCAGCATTACCATATCTGGAAGGAAGGAAAAACCACCGGGAAGCGCGCATAGCCGAGATCACGGAACTACTCTAACTACCAGTGATGCGCCGAATCCTGGGCGCCGATACACAATCCAGCAGCTAGACACAAGTACGACGGGAAACAAAACAAGAGGAAAACAAAAAAAACCAAGAACAAAGCAGGAGCAAACAACACAGTAGATAGTTAGGTAGAGAAGATAGTCAAGTAGCGAAAGGGAAATGGAAGATGTTCAGACCGGCGGCATAGCAATTCGAACACCGCCCTCCCTTCCCGTTCGCCCGCGCTCGTGGTAAACACGCATTGCGTCGTTGATGTTGTTGAACGACTTATGACTACACTTCGGTACCTTCAAGATCTGCTGTTCGGCCTCTTCCCTAGTTTGAACATGAGTCCGATGATGCCAAGAGAGAGAAAGAGGAAAACGAACCAGACATAATAGATCCCTGGGCGAATTCCAACGAAGACGACCCAGCACTTATGGTGATTCCTGTCCGACATTCGATCGGAACGAGCGCTCAGCGGAAGCTCCCCTATGAAGGGGTCGGGATAAGACCTCGGGGGTACCGGATGCCTGCTGGACGACGGGCCAGGCGTAGGGGCAGTTCGAGACCGAGGGGAGGGAACACTGGGGAAGGGAGACGGGGGTGGGGACCGCGGTGCGTCGGAATTGATGCGAAGGGGCTTCGGAGTCGGTTTTGGGTTCGGGTGACGCGATCGGATGACGGTTGTGGTACTTGACGGATCATTACGTTTAGAAGTCGATGGAGGCATGGAGACAGCATCACGAGGCCGATGAGGAGTGAGGTGAGGGGCGGTGCTGGGAGGACCGTGGGTTTCGGATTGCGAAGGGGCCGACGAAGCACTCAGGCCGGCGTCCTCAGGGAGGTCGTCGATGTTGAGGTCTTCAACAGCGGCCCATAACACGTCAGACGAGTCGGAGGCGTTCGACCTGCGTCGGGAACGCAGTTCGCTTGCGCGAACAGAGGGCGATGGGATCGTGGGAGGTGCCGTGCGCACGGGGCTTTCGCCTGGTGACCGGAAGACCCAATCGCGCGGGTCGTGGGGTATACGGGGGTCGAAGGCCGGAGGGGCAACTTCTGACCGAGCCCACGTATGATCGTCGCGGGTGCCGCTGGCGATCTCAGCGTGCGCTCCGCCATCGCCACTGCCAACAGCCCCTGCTCTATGCACCGAGAAGAATACATGGATATAAAGAAAAAAGAGTGAACATTAGCGTGGGCTACGGAAAGCGAGACGTAAATTGAAAGAGAAACCCTTACCGAGGAGAGGATCGCTCAGCGTTCGCTGCGCGCTGAACGACGTCCAAACGACCCGGAGGCCGACGTGAGGAAGCTAGAATCACTCGAAGAAAACACGCTATACAGTCAGTAGCAGTCTAAAGTATAGGTGAAACAAAACATACCAGTGACACCGCCAGCGGGTGAATCTGTCGCGCGATCTGATGGGGGCGGCAGGGGCCTCACCCTCACCGAAACATCGTAGCCGTGTGGATGGGATGCGTGGAGGCCAGAGAGATCGATGACGGGCATTTAGAATGGGGGCGCGACGAGGTTGAGAGCGATGGGGGTGGGTTGATGGTGGTGGTCGAGGGGAGAGAGGAGGCGGAGAGAAGCGGGAATTGTTGGGAAGTTTTATACCCGAGCCGCTAGCCTCGAAAAGAGCAAGTGAGGACCAGCTTCTTGTCCTCCACGCACGCTGCGTTGACCATGTGGTGTCCGCTGGTGGGAAAATGGAAGGTGACGGAGAAGCGCCCCGCCGAACGCGATGGCGAAGAGAAAACATCTATGGGAACGTTGCTCCATGCCTAGCGAAAGAATCAGACGCGAAGGAGAAAGGAAAAGGAATGGAAAGAGGGATGAAAAAGACACGCACTGAAGCAAAGAGCGGGCATCGATAGAATAGCACTGGGCCGAGGCGCGCGTGTCGGGGACGGCGCAAGAGCACACGGGACTGCATCCGACGAGCTAAGGGGAAAGAACAGTGAGTGCAAATAAAACAGAAATAAAGCGGAGGGTACGCACTTGAAGGAGTTTGTTGTCGTACGAAACGACAACGACGAAGGTGACGGAGGGAATAGGGAGGGCGCAAGTGAGTGCGCGGACGCGGTAATGTGCGCAGTCAAATGGTGACAGCGCGAATTGAACACGGTGAGTACAAATAAACGGGAGATAAACGGAAGGAAGCGCACCTGCAAAGGCTCGTCGTCGCCGCTGGCGACGATGGAGCGAACGGGGGAGCCCCCGTGGGTACGCGGACGCGACAACGAGCGCAGTCAAATGGTGACAGCCCGAGCTAAACACGAGCGCGGGTAGTGAGTACAAATAAGAAAGAAAGAAAGGGGAGGGGGCGCACCTTGAAAGGCTCGTCGTCGCCGTCGACGACCTCGAATATGACAACGGCGGAGGAAGCGAGACAGGCGCCAGCGGGTACGCGGACATGGTGATAAGCATGTTGAGTTCGCGATCGCGCAAGCTGAACAGGGGTGAGAACAGGAGGTCGTCGTGATCATCGGCGTTGCCGATGATCACGACGACGATGGCCCCGAGAAGACGAGCACGCAGTAGCCGACGAGAAAGGCGGGAGGAAGGCGGGAGGAAGGCGGGAGGAAGGCGGCGGCGCGTGAGCGTGGAAGTGAGCGGGTGATGCGGTCCGGATTCCACGGTCGCACGCGACAGCGGCCCCATATAAGGGACGAGCGGAACGTTACGGATGAGCCCGGTCGGTCCCAACGAGCATCGCCGCATATATGGGGCCGACAACGGAGCGCACCGAAGCCGACGAGGTGCCCGACAACATTTACAAAGCTCCCATCCTAGAGGGCCATCCTTATAGGGAGATCATTTGTAAAGGTGGCAGCGGTGACTACCGCAGTTATTTACAAAGATAGCACATCCTGTGGTGAGAATTCTGGTGAATTCAACTGAAACACTGTAGGTACGATACAAGTGAACAGGTTGGAGAATCTCGACTACCAAGGTCCGATATTTATACTAATACAAGTCCGTGTGAATCGCCACGTCATCTAGGTCCGCCACATCAGCCTAAGAGTTCGTCTGCTTCGCCGAGCCAGAGTCAAGCCACGCCAAGATAGTCTGTGTCAGACAGAAGTAACGTGTCCGCACTCCTCCTACGTGTCCAGTCAACTATCGTATGTGTCCGAGGTAAGTATACGTGTCCATAAGAGAAAGAGATATGTTTGTAGAAAGGTTTTTAAAGGGATTTTAGTAAGAAAGGATCGAGCCGAAGTCCGGGTGTGTGTCGCCTTACTAGGAACGCGGTAAAGGAAAAGAAAAGGAAAAGATACACGAAGTAACAAAGAAGAAAAAGTGTCCATAACAGAATGTGGGAAAGATGAGTGGGGAAGGATTTAGAGAAGATATTCTTGTCGCGCCAAGCGGTAGCATCGGTCCATGCAATCTGGGCCTCTACAGCGGGAAGGATATTGGTGAGCCAGAAGTCTATGATGACCCAAAGCGGAAGATATTGTCTCGGAGAAAGGCCTCGAATACTCTGTACACCCTTCTTCCATTCGCAGGGCAGCATGCTCGCCAACTTGGTAAGAAACGGGCGTGGAGGTATGGGAATGGACATCAGGATGTCGGGCGTCAGACCGGCATCCGGTGGAGTAATCGAGAAGATGTGAGAGAACTCTGATGTGATGGGGAAAGGAGGAGACAATGCGATGGGGGGAAGGTCACGGGCCATGAAGCAGTTAACAACAAGGTCAGAGTCGACAAGCAAGGTCTTGAAATTAGGAGGTATTTTGTTATGGAGTGAGAAAGAGTCAGAGTCATCGAGAGAGATAGGTTGCGACATGCTAGCAAGCGGGATTAGACGTTGCAGAGGGTGTTCGAAAATTGTTCGCACAGCGACTCGAGGAAAATACTTGACCTCCTTTTGTATCCAGCACGTTGCACCGACGCATGCCCAGCGTGATTCCACTAAATCAGATCCCAATGTCGTGTTTTCGAGACACGGCATGGATGGAGATAGAAAGCGAAGCAGCCCTGAACCGGTTACTAGGGTGGCAGAGAGTGAGGGCCACAATATCAAGATGAAGGCCTCGTGAGGAAGGAGATTCTTGAACAACATGAGATATTGGTTACACAGAGGTAGCCTGAATTGTTTCAGGGTGCTCGGGTTGACTCGGACAGTTCAGAACAATAAGGAGGAGTCCAGGAGATGGTACGACTTGGGCATGAGCTCAACTTGAACAGGGTGTATCCGCTGGCACGATGGATGAACACTGCATGACTCGAGGAGAGATGAAATGTATCATATTCACGACTTGACTTCCTGCACATACAGGAAGTCTTGTGTCACCGAGTCGCAGACCTGTAAAGTATTCGAGCTTACCTTGGAACACTGTCCCCTGTCCCGTCCGCCAATGGAACGAGGAGACAGACGTGACGTCAGAATTCGGCAACATCCGGGGATTTGAAATGGAACGATAGCCCGTAAAAGTACAGTACACTCGGATCCCATCTCTCCCTCGCTCCCCCCTCACTTCCTCCACCTAATTATTCAAACACCTTCTTCACCTTCACGCTATAATTCATTCCTTGCATGATATACTGTATAAAGCCTGGGCCTGAGCCCAAGCCCGACCCGTACCCGGCCCAAGCCCTCACGGCGGGCTCGGGCTCACCTTTTGTGAGGCCTGAGCCCATCCAAACCCGGCCCGAGCCCGACCAACACCTAGTAGGTGTTTAGCTGTTGGACTAATATTACAGCACTAGAACTGGTAGAACAGGGCATTGAAGGTCGTAAAAAATAAGGTATGCTTGAAAAAAGAATACACATATTTTTCGCAGCCTACTTATTGCTAGGTGTGCATGGCATAATATATATTAAGATTTTGATTGGCCCCTCGCTTATAAGGTGGCTTACAATGTGATTTATCCCACCTGGTAATCATTACCAGACGTGGCCAGCCTGAAATGGCTTAAATTCCTTATAAGGGCTTATAATCCTGCCTCCAAAAATTCCGACACAAGAGATGAAAGAGTGACATGTGTCCCTGCCTCCCTGTGAACTCTCGGGCATTCCTGTCCCTGAGGATCCAAAGTCTATGGTGCAAACGGCTTAGACGCCGCCACTTCTGTACACAACGTTGAGGACGGTGCCGCGGGCCGAGATTTGAGAATTTTCACTATCCCTCTTCCAGAAACACTCCTTTTGATGTAAGGAAGAGTTCCTCTAGAGGGATTATCCAAATTCTCAAAACTGGCAAAGATGAACTTTTGGATTTGGCCACCCCGCCAAATAATAATATTTAATTCATTTGTTTATTATTTTCCGAAAACCAAGGGGGGTGCCAGGAATTTTCTTTCAATAAATGGGGATTTCGACTTTCGCCGACGAAATTGGCCGCTGTACAAAAGTGGTGATGACTAAGCCGTTTGCACCATAGCCCCTCTCTCCAACTTTGCTTTTTTCTCGGAGTGCCAACATTTTTGCAAACAGCAATAAATCAATTCTTAATGTGTTCATAGCAGGTGTTAATAATTGTTAAGAATGTGTCCGGACTCGACCCGGATGTTATTCACATTTGTGAGGAAAGATCTGGGGAATTATTTGCGGGATCCTACTCGGAAGGAAACTCAACGTATTCCTTGCCTGTCTCAACAGAGAAAGTCCAGACGGACAGATTTCACTGAACTGCGCGCCTACATCAAGATCTACACCTCCGCCGCCTCGTCCGCCATCTGCTGTTTCAGCTTTGAGTTTGCCTTCATCCGCCTCAGGTAACTACGTATGTGCACCCGATAGCCCAGGTGGATTAAGAAGTAGAAGTTGACGGATGATGTCGATGAATTGTCCGAGACCACAGGAACGACGGGTTGAGAAAGTGGCAAGGTAAGATAGTGGTTGGTCGGCGAGAACGATGAAATACAAGTGTCAGTAATCTCGATCTGACGTAGGAGGGAAACAAGGAGAGCGCGTACTCTTCATATTGGCACCTAAATGGTAGCGCGAGACGCACAATGAAAAATGGGTCAGTGTCTTGAATCAATACAACAAAGAGGAACAGGATAGGGATAGCGAGGGGATGAGATGTATCGCATGTGGCGAAGGCCCGAGATGTGGCCCATCTGGTTCGTGAACACTCGCATGTCGAGTTTGTGAGCTGCTCTGACTAGCCAGCGTGGCTACAAAAATTTGGACCACGGACATAAGGCCAACCGTGGTTAGCGTTCCATTTCCCGGGCAACACGTTGACGAGATCCGATGTATACACCAGCAATCTCAAACCACCACAGAAAAAGAGATTCCAAGATATGGACGCGGAAAGGACGCACTTCTCGAACACATGCCTCTCGTCTTCACACTTCCATGGCAAGTAGAACGAGTCTTTCCGGCAGACATTGAGTGGGATCAGAAGTCTATTCTTGCCCATCACCCCCCGCGCCAACCCAACCGACATCGCGTTCAAGACATTCCAAGACCCAGACCATCAGGTGGGCAACGCATCGACGCAAGATTCGACCCAAGCGGGGTGTGTTGTTATGTTTGAGAGCATGGAGATTGGACGGGCACGATTCGAAGTTGTGGTTCAGCGCAGAGGTAGTGGACAGGTTCAGCCGGATTGAAGAGACGAACGCGTAGACAGGGTGCGCAAATGGACGGTGAGCGGGTCATCAACAGGATAGCGCAACCAAGCATAGAAAAAAAATCATAAAAAGAGACAAAGGAACAAGTCAGCTTCACGTCTCCCATAGCCACCACCACTGCGAAAACATGAACGAGCCAACGTACGCAGAGCACCGATCCCTAAATCCGATAGGCAGCTTGTACTGCTTCATCTCCTCCTGCGAGGCCGTAGTTGAGACTGCCATACTTGAGCTCCTTCCGCGCTTTCGTACGTAGAGAAAGAAAGGGAGAGGAAGTCGAGGTGACGAAGGTTGACGAAGAGTGCCAGAGAGTGCCACAGAAACGAGGGCAGAATTGCCAATAAGGTGGTCCGGGAGATTCCGGCAGGCGGTCAGACTTCGCGGCTCGCCACACTAGTAGGTCTTCTCATTGTCTTCGAATCAACCCTCTTATAACGCAGATGTCTCCATTTCGTTTGGTTGTGTTTGCCGTTTTCATTTCTTTTTGAGGTGCTTTCTTGAGGTTCGAACTAAAATAGTCAGGTATTGCCATTCTGGCCAGTGCGCTAACGCACTTTGAAGGCATCGACGTTTATCCTGCAATTAAAGGTTAGTGCTTTCAAGCGACGACGGCGGTTAACCATTTTGGCCGTAAAGATTGCCCTCTTTTGGTGAGACCAGTCTGAGTTTCACACTGATCATCTCGCTTCTGTAGGCCGACTGTCCGATATATTTATTGACAAACGGGGCGTAGCTCCGGTAGGTCTTGTTCGAGTCAACAAGTGTCTCTCATTTCCCGGAAATGTTACGCTGAAACATAGTAAAGTGTGCACAGCTGAGGAACCCTCCCCATGTAGTCATCTGACTGCTCGACTACACACCGTAAGCCGAATTCTTTGTACAACTAGTTTCCCGCTTCGTTTGGCTTTGCTGGCATGATTCCGAATTTGAAGCTTGAAGGTCGACCGCGGTGCAGTAGATGCACAGCTTCCAATATCGCGACCTCGTCGCGGAGGACGGTCGCTATAGGATGTGAAATCGATGATGCTCTGTACGGTTAGCTTCAATTACGACCCAGTCTCAACTACCAAAAACCCTTGGGATCAAGCGAGTGCTCTAGATCTCCTAGTCAGGGCCCCGCTCATCATCCTCACAGGCTGGTACACATCCATACAGAACTGTCAACAGGACCCTCACGCTTTCATTTCTCCAGCTCAGCGCCTGTTAGTATAACTGCGGGCCCCATAACAATACCTGCATCCATCGCCGGTCCACTACCACAGCCATCCAAACGAACTCCAGTTCCTTGACGCTACTGGCGCCCCTATCCCGGATCCTCCTTCATCCTCCTTTGAATCCGATGTTCAGCGATCGATCCCTTATCGGCACAAACTACGCACACCGGAGTCCTGGAGGAATTTAACAGGTTCGACAATAATGTTGTGTCGATTGATGACATGCCCGAGGACCTTCCGCCGGCGGAGCACGGATGGCTTTTCCAGCAGACAGACAAGGGCAATGTATTTCTAGACATTCGACTTGAGGCCGTCGAGATCATTACGAGCCCAAGCCCCCAAGCAGGCCAAATGCAATCGCATATATGTGCATGAGTTTGACGTGATCCTTTCAAAGTTGCGCCAGTGTGAGGAACCCATCCGCTCGTTTATCGGCGTACATCAGGACGAGCGTAGCAACACAGACCGTTCGGCCGGATTACGCGGCGCAAAGGAGGGGCCACATTTCACTATCCCATAAGAAAGACTAGTTGGATCAATTATCGAGAGCAGCTGGAAGAAAGTATCAGAGCGAACAGGAAGAAGCGGATGACAACTTATGGGCAGACGACGTACAAGCGACTGGGAGGCCAGATGTAGCGCTGTGGCGAGATGAATGTGAGTAGTACATGATCAAGAGTGGTGGTGTGATAGAATGCGATGCAAATGTGGTGTGACAATATAATATAAAAAACACAAAACTAGCCATACCCTCCTAAACATCAGACAACATTGCCCCTCTCCTTCTTCCACTGCTCTACCTCTCTCCCAAACCTCTCTACGACCTCACCCGCCTCACTGCTCTTCCCAAAAGCCTCCACGAACATACCCTCCGGATCCATCAGATAAAAGAATATACTGTGATCTACGAGGTAGTCGTCGTCCACCTTCGCGTCCGGAGGGGTAGAGAAGTACACCCGGTAGGCTTTGCACATCGCTTTTGTGGCGGCGTAGTCGCCAGTCAGGGCGAGAAGACGGGGGTGGAAGTCGTGGAGGTAGAGGGACAATTGTTCTGGTGAGTCGCGCGCAGGGTCTACGGAGACGAAGATGGGTTGGACGATGGGACCATATGCCTTGTCTACAGTTGTTTCCCAAACAGACGCAGTCGAGGTCAACTTGCATGAAGAGCAAAAACAGGAACAGGGACTAACCAATCTCGTTGACAGCCGCCGTCATCTTGTCCAGCTCGTCGGGACATATATCAGGACAGTTCGTGAATCCAAAGTAGATGAGCGACCATTTCCCGAGGAGGTCCTTTTCGGTGAAGGGTTTTCCGTCGTGCGTTTGCATTTGGAAGGGCCCACCTACCATGGCGCGGCCAACTGTGCGAGATTCGCGCTCTTTTTCTGTTTGAGGATAGTAGAGGTATAAATACAAGTGATATGGACGTCACGAGAGGAACGCACGCTTTTGCTCCTCCAACCGCTGCTTCTCCCATCTAAAGTACGCGTAGAGCCCTGCTCCAGCTACGCAGAATACTAGTGCAGCTCGTGGCCCAAATACCTATGGCACCCAAGTATAATGCAGTTCGCCGCTTCGTAAGCATTCTAAGTAGACGCGTAAAGTTAAAGGACGCGACGTACACCGACAGCCGAGCGATCCCGGTTCGCGTCCATGATGTTATCCCGCGTCGCCTTGATCTTGGGAGGTGGGATGTTCGTCTTTGCTTTTACTTGCATGTGCGGTGCAGCCGGAGGAGTGGTAGTTTTCTTATGCGCATAACCCCGCATTTGCATTCCACTCACCGAGGGACGAATATTGTGGTTTCGAACACGGAAAGCATTTCGGGAAAGAGCTGCAGGGGGCGTGAAGGGTCGGACATGGGCCAGGAATTGAGCGAGAGAGCAGGATGGGTGCATCGTCGGAGTGAGACCTTGTCGACGACTTGAAGCCAAGGAAGGTGCTGATGAGCTCCGACCACAAAATTGACAGGAAATTCAAACCGGCGGCGGCTCTTCCGCCACCCATCCTCGGAACAATCCGTGTGGCCCTCCTCGGCGGGTGCCACACTTCTCGTTCTTCAGCCTCACAGAGCCATGTTACGCAGAATAAACGACCAACTTCATACGTACAGTGCCAGGACAATATTTGGAAGCTCCTTCGGGTGAAATAAAATGTACGAGCTCCAGGGATGAGTTTCCGAGTTCCTTCTGTGTGGCCCCTGACTCGACGAGTTCAACGCTGATAAGATAAGATTTACAGGGCGGCTGTATAACTTTGAGTTCGCCCCTCTTCCTCCCCTCTTCCGCCCGCCCGCCCCTCCTGTTATCAAAAAGCCGAAAACGATATAAGTACAGTGTCCACCGCCTCCGCCTCCACCGAAACCCCCATCGTCCCCTGTACCAAAAAAATGGCAGACCTACCCCCTTCCGTCTTCATGCTCAAACCTACCGCCCAGCTTGAGGCTCTGTTCACCATCATCAGGGACAAGAACACTTCAAGGGGTGATTTCTTGTTCTACAGTGATAGGATCATCAGGCTGTTGGTCGAAGAGGGCCTCAATCATCTTCCTGTGGTGCCGAAGACGGTGGAGACGCCGACGGTGAGGGTACTTACCATTACCAAAGTAGCTCGGAAAGTTCTAACGTTTGGACTGTTGGACTTTTGTGCAGGGCATGATCTATGAGGGTGTTGGGTTTGAGGGTAAAATATGTGGGGTATCGATCTTGCGTGCTGGAGAGGTACGTTTCTCTATGGTTTCGAACATGTATGGATGATCGTCTGATCTGAATACACTGATTTTGCACAGGCGATGGAGGCAGGTCTGCGCGAGGTGTGTAGGAGTGTACGGATAGGAAAAATCCTCATTCAACGTGTACGTCTCCTCTTCGCTTCCTGGAAAGACATACGCTGATCCAGTGTTGGTCTCGTTTATATCAGGACGAGGAAACTACCCTCCCCAAACTCTTCTACTCCAAGGTATTGACTATCCCGGCCGTCTCACATAGTCTTAACTGACACGAACCCATAGCTTCCTCCAGACATTGCCAGCCGCTACGTTCTCCTCCTCGACCCCATGCTCGGTACGCTTCTTTAATCCCAATGCAACTCACTTTCAATTAACTAACTGATAATTTGAACGTTTTATAGCGACGGGTGGATCGGCCATGAAGGCCGTAGAAGTCATCATGGAGAATGGCGTCCCAGAGGACAGGATCATCTTCATCAACCTCGTGCGTTCACTGTCCTTTTCTATGACCGGACGAAACAACTGTTTAAATTGCTAAATGTGATGCCTCATAGATCTCCTCGCCCGAAGGTCTCAAAACCTTTGCTACAAAATACCCCTCACTCAAAGTCGTACGTCAATTCTTCGCTCTCACTGCCCCATCAGATTGAATTTCATTTCTCTTGAACCTGCGCTGAAATACCGCTTCTCGTTGTGCTGTAGATCACCGGATGGGTAGACGAGGGACTGAACGAACGGGCGTACATCGTGCCTGGACTGGGAGACTTCGGCGAAAGGAGGTACGTGCACTCCCTTCCCTTCCCCTTTGCACGCTTTACCCACCAATATATATCTTCTTTTCCAGGTACTGCGTCTAATCCACTCTTAACTCTCATCTTCTTTGCATCATGGGACTTTGAGCGTATGGACATATGTGCATTAAGGGACTAGGTTAGGGCGGGACATGCATGACTGATCCAACACATCACTATTACCATAAGGCATATCAATTGTATATAGAATCAAGAGAACTTTTTGGGTATTTGTACAGCAATCAACTCAAACATTCCCTTCGCACGTTAACGTTGTATATGTAGTGGCCTTGATCTTACCTCGAGTCTCAGTCGAAATTACTTAACTGGCAAGGGATAACGAAGATCTAGTTGATCTTCTTTACCCGGTGGAAATCTGTCTCTGGGAGACGGATTCGTTGTTTGTGTATGTATTCGAGCATGCTTGGCCACACGCCACTTCACCCAGGCCCAAGTTTTTTACAACATTTCCATGATCGTAACCTTGTCGCAACCACGGAGCAGCCCCGCATTTCATGGACCATTTTCGACGACACCGACTCGGACTAAGAAACATAATTAGACTATTTGCATGATGCGCATGGTCCCTAGTATTGCTTCTTCATCGTTTGGCTGGAAACCCCTGTCGTCCGGGACCATCGCCAACGATGTCTCTCTCCACCCTCCCTGACAATCTCATCCAAACCATAGTCAACCACCTCCCTACGTTTCATCCTGCTCGAGGACCTCAGAACCCATGGCTACGTATTAAGCCTGTGCGCGAACCTCTGATCTTGCTGGACTCAGATCTGCTCCATATCTGCGCTACGAATCGAGCTTTGAGGCAGACTTGCATCCCTCGTCTTTATGAAACGGTGGTCTTGAATCTTGAGCGGAACTCCCTCGAGAATCAGGCCGAACGGCTTAGGCTGTCCTGGCAGTCAGGTGCGAGTCTTTTGCAGCATGTAAAGTACGTCGCAACTATCATGTCTCTGAATCGACCGGGCTGGATAGGAAGATCGTCAGGCTAACTGGCCAACTCCCCTTCTCCAGACATGTCATCGTACGCGACATGAACCGCACCATATCTCCACCACACATGGCCTCTCGCGCCTGGCAATCCATCTTCAACCCAACCTTCAACCCTCATCTTAGCACGCTCTATAACCTCTCCGCCTCTCACACTACCCACCACCTCGAAATCCTCCGCACCATTCTCACTTCCCTCCCCGCCCTCATCACCCTAACCCTCTCGGACACCAATGTCCACCTCACACATTCCCTCCTCCATGAAACCACTATCCATCCAACCCTCAAAACCCTCTCCATCCTCTCATTCCACCAACTCTCTTCCCTACCTCCCCCCCTCTGCCTCTCCACTTCCCTCTCCCGCATCCACATCCGCGGTCTCCTCCTCGATCGTAATCAACCCCCTCTCCCCTCTGGACTCCTCCAAGCCTGTCTGAGAGGTCCGGACCATGGGGGCATCCGGATCGAGGAGTTCATACTCCAATACTACGACCCCCCTCTTTCGCTCGATGGCCTCACATTCTCCGGGCTTTGGTGCGTTAGTCTGCGGTACGCAGAGGGAGATACGACCTTAGTGAGGTCTAGCGATGCTTTCATCGCTCGGCATCTGAATCTGCATGTCGGTCCGAACAGGCGCGGGCTGAAGTCACTTCATATCGAGGGGAACGGCCAGCCGGATGGTTTGGTGCTGGCGAACGTCCCATGTCTGGATTCGTTAGCGACCAAGGCGCACGAGAGAGGGTTTGAGGATGCGGTGTACATTTCTCGGTCCTGCACTCTTGACCAGGGTTGGCGAGGGTCAATGGTAGGTCATTGACTCTTGACCTGGTCAAACGGTCATGACGTGGGTCAAATTGGTCTTGACCCAGGTCTATCGGTCAAGTGGCGATGCAGTTCGGTGGCGTACGAATATTGTTGGCGGCCGAAATAAACGTAATGATTTCTATGAAATTCTGGAAAGCCACCAACTGTGCCGCCACTTGACTCTTGACTTGGGTCAAGACCCTCGGTCACGTCATTGACTTTGTCATTACCCAGGTCACTGACCCGGGTCACCCCAACTCTGCTCTTGACCTCGAAGGCGAAGGGAGGGAAGAATGGATCGTGAAACACCTCGCAGCCGAGATCAAGAACAGGACGAACGAGGTGCTCGGGTTCATGTTGGAGAATCTGCCGCCTTGTGAGGGTCTTGCGCTCTCGAGGATCTCTTCTTCAGGAGAAGACGATGATGGTCCGTCGTTCGTAAGTTCTTCCATTCACATCACTGTCATATTGTACCGTCATTACTCATGGCATAATATTTCCGACACAGTCAACGACATGGTCCACCATCCTCCACCACGCCCCATCCCTAACCCACCTAACCTCCCTCTCCCTCTCCAACTTTCCCCTCTTCGACCATCCCCTTCCCCCCTCCCCTTCCTCATCCTCCTCCTCTCCCTCTTCTCTTCCAGCCATCCCATTCTCCCGCCCGCAATCCACCTCCCCCCTCTCCCCCACCTCCACCGCCTACGCCCTCCGCTCCTCTCAGATCCGCGATCGACTCTCCCACCTCGTCGACTCTTCGAGATTAGTAGACCGCGTTGAAGAGCTCGCTCGGCGATGTTCAAGTTCTGGAACTGGGCGGAGGTTACAGAGCGTGTCGATGGCTGGTCCGGACGGGTGGGCCGTGGGGAGCTATGTGTTGTCGTTTGGGATTTGGTGGGACGGGGAGGGGGAGAAGGTGAATGTTGGGTCCGAGATCTCGATGTCTACGTGACTTTGGCATGGAATTACAGAATTATGGAGGCGTTGAAGTGTGGCGTGATGGGACGAGTCGAAGCCTCTCGGCACCGGATCCATGCCACTGTATAGGCTCGATTCTTGGTCTGGTCACCAGACGTGGGCCCTATACCTCCCTTCGATGAAGATTCAAGCTTCGATTTGCGACAGGGTATGATCCCTGAGCCTGGGCGACCTACTGACCAATAGTGGCGCACATGCACTTCACCAGACCTATGTAAGATACTACGTCTGTGGTTGCAAGGGTGTATACATAATTGACCGTGCCAGCTGCTTCCAAAAGGAAAAGAGGCGAGATAAATATGGAAGGGATTCGGATGGGGATTGCGGCTTTTAGGGTACTGCTGGGTCGGCTCGAAATCCGAGAACGATGGAGTAAAGAGAAAGACGGGTCAACCGGTCGCATATGGTGTAAGTAAGTATATAATACTTATCGATGGTTCTGGGAGTGACTCCGAGTGAGACTGTCGGATGTCGAACTCTGCGTTTTGCACAGTAGCAAAGAGATATGACAATAGCATCGTTCTACAGTAACAGCCATTCGAGTCGACGGCGAATTCACACAAGGGTGTGGGGAAAGAGAAGTTGGCCGGCGGGAAGGAGCCGAAAGATGGTGGTCGGATCAGGGGTATTGTGCAATTATCTAGATCTTATCTAAACTAGGGAGGGAATTGCACGACTTTCGGATAAAAATTGAGTCAAAGACGTTCAGCTTGTCTCAGCCAGCGCGTCTTCTTCTCTCTGTCTCTGTTCACTACTTTCCTTCACGACAACATCACAAGCAAAGCAAATAATGTCTATCCCTACTCAGCGCCGCCGTCACTCGGGCTCGGCCACGACCCTCCCTCCTGTCCAGCCCTCGACAGTCAAGGCCGCAAAATCCATACAATATACTACAGTCGACCCCATCCCCCGTCCGAAATCGACCCCGGTAGACGAGCGCGACAAGCCTCGGCAGCGCAAGCGCGTCTACGACCTCGGGAGCAGTGGGAGCAGCGAGAGCGACGACGAGGAGACGATGGCCGTCGACGATGCTCCTGCTCCAGTCCCAGTCCCAGCTGCAGCCGCGCCCGACCGGCAACTCCCGCGCAATTCTACCCTGGACGCCTCCACCATCGCACTCGACACCACCAACGTCGCACGTCCCACCCGGCCCCTTCCCTCTTCAAAGTCCAGAAAGATGCTTCACAATCCTACCATGCTTCCCGAACAGGCCCACGTCCCGCGCGGCCCGAACGCTGCCGCCCAGCGACGACTTTTCGTTATCCTCGAGCAGGCCTGTCTCGAGGCCTACAAAGTCGGCACCGTCACAAAGGGTAGGAACGGCAGGGAGGGCGAGGCCAAGTATGCCCTCCTCAACTGCGACGACCATCAGGGCATCCTCGCCAAAACAGGCAGGGACATCGCGGATGCCAGGCCGGATATCACTCATCAGGTATGTCTTTCTCCCTGCCTTCCTGCTTCTCCTTACGTACCCTGACGATATGCATCGTAGTGCCTCCTCACCCTTCTTGACTCGCCATTGAACAAGGCGGGACTTCTTCAAGTGTACATTCACACCGCCAAAAACACTCTCATCGAGGTCAACCCCCATGTGAGAATCCCGCGGACGTTCAAGCGGTTCAGTGGTCTCATGGGTGAGTGTCCTATATCCATCCATTCATCCCTCCATCTTTGCTCTCTATCTGTACCCTGTTTGCTTGTTCCTCTGTCTATTTTTATATCAGCGTCTGGGCTGGATCGTGGTGGCGTGCGAACCGTGAAGCTCTCTTTCCTCATTCGTCACGAGTACCGTGTATAGGGGATGTGCAGATTCGTTGACTGCTCTCCTCTACCGTGGTACTGCATTCACATCGGGCGGCGTAGAACTACTTCGATGCATGAGACGTGAACTCTCGACTATTTGCGCTGCGGACCAACCACCATCCTCCATGATCTCATGATCTTATCTCGCGCTCGAACCTCCCCTTCTTCCTCGACCTTTCGCTTTCGTTATATTCTTACTTCAACATTCGTTCAAGAAGCTAATATCTTCTACTAGTCCAACTCCTCCATAAGCTGCAAATCCGTGGCGTCAACGGCTCCGAGAAACTCCTCAAGGTCATCAAGGTGTGTGCCGTTATTTATACCATTCTTTCAGTTCTTGTCTGGTAGCTAATTCCGTATCGCAGAACCCAGTCACGGACCACCTCCCACCAAACACCTTCAAAATTAGTACGCCCCTTCCTCCCTCGCTCTTCGTCTTTATCCCACTAACTCGCCTTTTCCCTTCTTCCAGCCCTCTCTGGAGACGCCAAAACGACCCGTCTCTCTAAATACCTCCCGACCATCCCCGCGACACACAACATCGCAGTCTTTGTAGGCGCCATGGCCCGCGGCAGGGACGATTTCGCGGATCACGTCGTGGACGAGAAGATCAGTATTAGCGATTATCCGTTGAGTGCGAGCGTTGCTTGTGGGAAGGTTCGTATCGCCTTCGCCTGTCAAATCTCACCGCACTCAATGCTCATATCTTTTTCACAGTTCTGCTGCGCCCTAGAAGAGCTCTGGGACATCGTCTAAAGGCCGATGGCGATCCTACGCTCGACCGGCCTCTCCCCCACAAAGCGCTTTCTACCGGGTTTTCTTTCGCTGTATCCGCTCGCTCTCCTGTACGTGTAGTATCCTAATCCTGCTGCCTCTGTTCCGTCCTGCTTGGTTCGAAAATAGCGGCCGTACTCAGACGTTCCGTGCGTCGCGCAGTGCCTTCTTCCGACAAGGCGCCGCGTCCGTTGGTCATGGTCTGGTTCCCGCCGCTCTACAACTCATCTTCTACTGTCTATAGTTCTCACTTCTTGTTGAATTGCACCTTTTGGTTCCGCTTTGTGCTTCTTCTTTTCTTTTCTTTTTTGCTTTTTGGCGAGCCCGAGTGCGTATTCAACCTGCGCCTGGGCGAGCCCTTTAACTTTATTATCTTTGGTCCGTCTTGTACAATTTCTTGCCTCGAATCATCCCACCCACCTCCTCCGTACGTGTATGCTTGCCGTCTGCGCCCTTTCCTCCCTCCCTTCCCATCCGTTCACATAATCCTCTATCCCTCCGCACGATGCACGCGTATACGTACCCTCCCCCTCCCGTCCCACCTCACGCCATGCCCGCCACGAACTCCATCTATGATTCGAACATCACAACCACCTGCTTATGTATTTGTACACCCCTGGGACCTTTTCACGGCCACACATGACTCTACACACAGTCTCTGTCACACCACACCACACCAACCCCTTACCCGTCCTCTCACCCACCCACACGGCCTTTCCCTCCTCTACGCACCACCCTCCCCTCATTCACGTACTCCCCAGCGCACCTCTCTCTGCCAGTTGAGCTCGCGGATGCCTGGCGGTCCGTTCGCTCAGGGGTCCCAGTCAGTTCGTCGGTCGGTCACTACGTGTCTTATATATACCCCAATGATATCCAACTCAACTTGGATGGTTTGGGCGTCGCTGTAACACAATATAATGATATTGAATGCTCCGTCTGGCGTGTTGTACATGGCATGAACGACATGATCCCAAACAGTGAACTTTGGATCGTAGAACACATGCGATCTTGACTTCGATCCTACTTATACATCGGAATGCCCCATTCGATATCCACCTCCTCTCCGTCGTCATCATCCTCTCCATCCTCTACATCCCCATCTTCCTCTCCGTATTCTTCATTATCACCCGCACCCCTACTCCTCCCATGCACAACATACTCAAAAAAATGATCCCCAACCTCGAACCCCCTCGGCCCCGCGAAATTCACCCCTCCCAACCTCTTACACACATTCGCTAGTTCTCTGACTTGAGGTTCTAGGGCTGTCCCGAGGGGTGAAAGGATGTCCATGAGTTCGTCTAGAGACGGTTCGTCGAAGTCTTCATCGTCGTCGTCGTCGGAGCCGGGATCGGGGCCACAGTAGCCGAAGGGGATGGGGTGGTCTGGTGGAGTGTCCCAGAGAGGGAATTGGGAGAGCGAGAGGTGGTGTGTGTGTTGAAGGGTGGGGGTGTGGGAGAGGAGGATGGAGTGTGTGATTGACTAGTACGGTAAGTAGAGGGGGAGGCATGAGTAGGAGTCTCGTAACGGAAGACTAAAGGGCAAGATGTTACTTACGAGGGCTATCCAATCCTCGTCGTCATCCGACGGTTTGGACAGACTCAAGCTCTCACAAGGTGGAAGGCAGTCTAGAACGAAAGGTAACACCTCCTCCGTCCTCTCCTTGAACACGACACTAACACTCTTCAAATACCACTCTCCCTCCGCCAAGTCCGCTGGTTCTCTCCGTCCACCTCGACTCCGCTGCACATGGACGTTATCCAACCAGAACGCGTCCTCGTACCCATGCGCGATCGCGACTTCGCGCAGGAGCGAGACGCAGGGGATGTTCTCAAGCAAAGAAAGATCCTTCACTCCGTCCCCCGAGATCTGCACAGACTCGAGCCCCGTACCCTCATTATGCCGTTCAAAAAACTCAGCACAGGTCCTCGGGAGGAAATACTTCGCGGTCTGTTCATACACCGAAAGCCTAACATCTCTTAGCCCGTTGAACGTTAGTCCTATCCATGCCGGATCCTCGAACCACCCGACGACAAGTTCGTCGATACGTGGCCCGTCGGGTCTCGCACAGGCTTGTAACATGTCCGTCCTGTGGAGCGCTGGCATCGGGTGTTGTTGTTCGTCAATGATGAGACCGCGGACACGGATGCGCGACATCGGTGTCGAGGACAGGAAGTCGACGGATAAATTCCCGAATTGACGGAAGCTTTCTAAACGTATTTCATGGAGGGATGGGTGTCCATGTATCGCATTGACGATATCCTCATCCAGGGGCACGTCCGTCCGTTCCGCATCGATCGTCATGAGGTTCCGTAGGGAATCAAGCAGGTCCCGTGTGACTTGGAGGAGCGTGGCCGCTGATGAAGAGGCCAAGCCGTATAAAGATTCGTCGCCCATGATGCGGAGGTAGGCGCACCAGAGGTGTGTCCAGTGATAGGCATTCCAGGGCTGTTTGCTGTCGTGAATCCGAACATGACTATCACGACATTGAAACTAAGGTCAGCTTTTTCACGATCTCAATGTTTATAATAGATATCACCCTTACGCACCGAACATACTGCGATACCTCAGGCTCGGAAAGTATCCCACCCAAAAGAACCGCACGCTGCATCCCGAGCGCATGTCTCTCCAAATTCAACACGACGCTCCCATACAAAAGCGGCACGCAGAGCTTCCTCAAGCTCCGATTCGTCGCACACAGGCTTTGCAAGTTCGCATCCAGCTCAAGAAGCGGTGTATGGTCGTCTGGCCCGGTCCAAGGGCGTGGGCACGGGACGGGGAAGGAAGGGAGGTACGAGATGATTCTGCGTAGGATTTCGTCTGAGAGGGCGAGGAGAGGCATTTCCGGTGAAGCCAGAGATGGTCTCAGTTCAGTCTGCGGTCTGAAAAGATAGGCTGTCATCCGTGACTCGTTGGTTTATGTATGGAGCCCAATGATGAAACGTTCCCCAATCCCACTGTACTCCCATTGACTCGCCGTTCCTCAGATCAACTGGAACAAGGCCCACCATATCAGTTGAGCCTGATGCTGGCGTGAAAGTGCTTGGCAATCTCTAGACGGACAGGAGAGACCGAGACGCATCACGGTGCCAAAATTCAAGAGACCCAAAAGATCGTCAGCTATGTAGAAAGTTTGGATAGTGTGGTGTCAAGAAACAGCCTAGGGGACTTAGGTTGAAGTACATGAAAGTTCGGCAGTGCGGCGGGGAGAGTGACGGGAGCTGGCCGTTTGCAGAACAATTCGTTCGGAGATTTAAGATGTGATATAACCAAACGACGAAGCTGCATGCACAATGAACCGTAAGTACGAGAAAGCTATCGTTGCGATTGAGATGGACAAACAGGGCGCTTCAGGAGCCTTGGGAGGAAGGGCGAGGCGAAATGCGAAAAATGAGTAGTGGTTGGCCAGTGGTCCCGAAAAAGTGAAACACATCATATACAAACCTTTTCTGACAGAGGGTCACTAGAACAACGACGATGGAACTTGAGCACGGGTAATCGTATTGCACTAGCAGCGAGAGACGAGATGTACAGGATGATGCAGGAGACGATGAGTTGACACTTCATACCGAAAAGTTGAGCAAGGAAAAGGGAAAGAAGAATCCAAGAATATATACAGACAAAACAAGAGCGCATAAGATGAGGTGTGAGGCAAGATGTATGAGATGGCACAGATGAATGAGAAGGTCGCGAGTGGTAAGTACAGACAGCAATGAAAATTCAATAGGAAAATGTGACGGAACCCAGCCGGAACGAAACGATGAAGCAATGGACAATCGCAAGGGGAGAAAAGGAGTATCCAAACGATGACAGCACACAAACAAACATCACCTTCTCTAATTCTACAACATACTTTCTCTGCCGCTCCCTCCCCGTCCATCAACCATGAATAGGAGCATACCCCCCACCCACGCCCGCCGGGCCCTCGTCACTCCCCTTCTTCCCATGCCTCTTAAACGCACTGACCGCATTCCGGAAACCCAACGCCTTCTTCCCCACATCCTTCATACTATGACTCCTCGCCCTATTCGCATCTGCATCATACTCGCTCTGCCCCACACCGCTCGGCCAGCCCCCATGACTCTGACTCTGACCATGCCGGACGGGCGAAGAAGGATTAGGAGCGCTACCGTGAGGTTGAGGGTGCGGGTGCGGGTGCTGTTTGGTGGTGGATGTCTTATGCCTATTGTCGATCGGTGCGGCGGAGGATATAAGATGCGAGGGGAGGATATCGGCGAAGGTTGAGATTGGGGGTGGCGCGGGGGCTGGAGCCCCGCCTCTGTGCTGCTGCCGCCCATCTCTATCCCTCTCTCTATCTCGGTCTCCGCCCTTGTGCTTCGGGGGATCAGAGTGGGCGGACGATGCGTGAGAAATAAGATGTGAAGGCAGGATATCCGCGAACGTCGAGCCTCCGCCTCCGCTCCTGCCTTGCGAAGGGCTCGTGGGCGACGAAGCGGCGTGGTGGTGTTGGGACTTGGTCGGCGGCGTAGCAGGTCTCGCGGGCAAGTCGAAATGCGATTCCTCGACGGGGCTAGCAAACGGGTTGTTGCTCTGGAAAGAGGAAGAGGGCGGTATGTAATCTGATCCGGGATTGTGTAGGATAGAAGGTAGTGGAGGTGCGGTGTGGATGGGTGGTGGTGTGTGATGCGGGTATGGTTCTGGAGTCGGCGGGGCGAACTTGAGCTGTTTCTTCACCGGACTGCGCGCGACGGGGGCCGGGAGGTTATGGCCGTGCGTGCGGTCGTGATTGTACATGAGGGTATCGTGTGAGTTGGAAGACGTCGGTGAGAACGTTGATGAGACGGGGGAGGGTGTGCGGTTGTCTGAAGGCGAGTCGAAGGGGTCTTCGGGGGATGAGTTGGAAGGGGATAAAGGAGGGGTCGGTGGAGAGGCGGGTATCGGGAAAGTTGATGTCGAGTCTGATGGAGATGAAGATGAAGATGGAGATGCGGATGCGGATGTGGCCACAGAAAGGGGTGGAGATGCTCTGTTCTTAGCGGAACGGCGGCGTTTGGGTGGAGTATCGAGGATCGGCACAGGACGAGGGTCGTTGTCCTCGTCAGAGTCGTCCGCAAAGATGACAGGTCTGTCGTACGCCGGACCTGGAAACAGGGTGCAGGAAAGAACAGGAGGTCAGAAGCGCAGCCGGAGAGTAGTGATGGGAGACAAAGAAGAGGGTGTTCAGAACAGAGGTGATAAGGGGTTATGGTTAAGTCTTGGCATTGACTTAATGAATAGAATATATACGCACGACAAATCTTTCCGCCGACGGACCTCGAGCGCTGCAGTTCAGGCTTGTTCAGCTGCGACTCGTGGATGAGTTCACCGTAGTCGTGCTCTGGGTGACTGAAGTACGTCTCGCCGTTCGTGTCTTGGAAGGTGTAGCGACCGCTGTCTGCGTCATAGGATGTGCGGGTTACCCCGGCCGGCAGGCGGTGCGGGTCCTAACCACCGTATGTAAATTAATGTCGCGTGCATGAGAACGCCGTTGGGTGAAATACAGAGAAAATAGCAAGAAAAAAATACAGACCTCTGAGTATTGCGTCCAGCGACCCATGGTGAGTCTAATGGAGAGAGAGATGCAAAGGGTGGGAAGTGTTGCGATGCGGTCTGTGGGCATGAAAGACGCCTTATAAGGACCCCACGTGTTTGTAGCTCTAGTTCACGGAACATCGCCCAAGTGATGCTGATGGTCTGGCCAGCGACGTTTGGGGACCAGAGACCGTGGCTCCTCATCGTTGTCGACAGCGCGGGGGAGACGCCACACCAGCGGACAGCTTCGAAAGGGAACTGATCACGTAAACCGCCACTTAGCGCGCTCAGCCACGTGGGGGCACGCGTACGCGCTGACGCGTCTCTGAAGGTCTCTGAACCTGACTGTATACGTCTGCACACCGTCCCAAACATTGTACACCCACTCTTTATCAACGTAGCCCACCATGCCTCTCGAAGCCGCCGTGATTGTGCTAGACAACTCAGAATACATGCGGAATGGCGACTATGCTCCAACACGGTTCACTGCACAGGGCGAAGCCGCCACTACTGTCTTCGACGTGAAGGTGAACTCGAACCCGGAGAACACGGTCGGCGTCATGACCATGGCTGGTAAAGGGTCTGCACTCAACTTATTTGCGGGTGAAGTCTGTTGTACTTATACTCTCGCGTCCCCAGCCCAGAAGTCCTCGTCACCCATACACGTGAAATCGGTCAAATCCACGCCGCACTGCACTCATCCTCATCCCGCATCGGCGGCTCAGCATCCATACCAACAGCCATTGCCATCGCCCAGCTCGCCCTCAAACATCGCCAAAACAAGAACCTCCGTCAACGTGTCGTGCTCTTCGTCGGCTCACCGATAGAAGAGGCCGCTGGCGAGGGTGGCGCCCCGGCGTTGATCAAGCTCGCGAAGAAGCTCAAGAAGAATAACGTCGCGGTGGATGTCATTGCGTTTGGAGATGCTGTTGAGGGTCCTGGGCAGGAGATGATGAGAGCGTTTGTCGAGGCTGCCAATAGTGGTGACAACTCGTGCGTAACTCAACACTAGCCTCGTCATTCGTTATAGTCTCAGGACGTATACTAACGACCTGACCTTCCCTCTCCCACCACAGACACTACGTCTCCATCCCCCCAGGTCCCCACTTCATCTCCGACATCCTCTTCTCCTCCCCCATCCTCGCAGGCGAAACCGGTCTTCCGGACGAATCCATGCAAGACGGTACTGCAGGTGGCGCCGCTGCAGGTGGCGCCGCTGCCGGCGGTTCAGGTGCTGGTGCTGGCGGAGCCGGGTTCGAGTTCGGCGTGGACCCGACTCTGGATCCGGAGTTGGCTATGGCGCTGAGGATGAGTATGGAGGAGGAACAGGCGAGACAGGCGCAGCAGCAGCAGCACCCACAAGCGGACCCTGCACCAGCTACAGAACCGGCATCTTCTACACCAGCGGCGGCAACAACGACGACGGTACCTGCAGCCGCGTCGGACGATGATGAAGATGCGTTGTTGCAGCAGGCGTTGGCGATGTCTTCAGAAGAGGGGTCCGGGGATGTGGAGATGGCCCCGGCAGAGTCGGGTGCAGGGGGAGCCCCTGGGGAAGACGAGGAGATGAGTGAGGAGGAGGCGATTGCGAGGGCTATTGAGATGAGTATGAAGGGTGAGGGCGAGGGTAAGTAGGCTCGTCGTGGTGGTCACGACCGTCGAAGTTATGGAGCATTGTATGTTTGATCGTTCTCTTCAATTCTAGCTGTGTTTTCAATGCAATGCGATTGTGATTGGTGCAGCTCTCAAGTCCGTTCCGGGCCCTTGCTAACCAGGTTACTTTTGGTTGTGACTCAAACTGAAGCTAGTTTTTGTATTGGGCCGGCAAGGCAGCCGCTTCTATAAGCGTGGGGGTTGGTGCGTTCACAGCGACCAACATATAATAATTTTGTTCAAATAGCGTACGCGCAACTCATGCCAGTGTGGTGCCGAGCAGTCCTCGCCGTGGAAGGAAGCCGCAACGCCGCGTCATATGCATGGAACGAAATGTTCACCAACGCCGTAACGAGATAAGAAAGTGAATACGTGAGTTTATTCGTCGGAACAAAGATCAACTTGCGAGCGGGAACCAACCATCTGGAGTCGGCCCACAGGCTAGTGCACAAGAACCCCTGATACAGAACGATAGGCTTGCTCATCGATAAAAAGTGAGCCACTTCTTCCACCACGCCACTCGTCCTCGAGGAGGCCTACAAAGTGCGAAACGTCTACAAATGGCTTAATACCCACTGGTTCGGTTTCTAAGCTGGCACTACCCTGGCGCAGCCGAACTGGGGTGCGAGATATTGTTCGTAGAAGGAACAAAACGGATACGAAGTGCCTGAAGTCAAAGCTAGGTTGAGCCGTAGGGCAATGCGATTCGGGTTCGCCTACTGCCACGCCACTCCTCCTCGAGGAGGCCTACAAAGTGTGAAACGTCTACAAACAGTTTAATGGTCACCGGTTCGGTTTCTTCGAGATTGAAGTTGAAGGAGCAAGCTGACACTACCCTGACCCAGCCGAACTGGGGTTCGAGATAATGTTCGTAGAAGGAACAAAACGGAAGAAAGTGCCTGCACTTCAAAGTGAAGAGTCGTAGGGCAATGCTATCCAGGTTCGCCTACTAGTGCTTCTGGATAGTCACTCCTTTGTTCAAGGTCACCGAACCATGAGGTTCGTTCCACAGGAATCAGGATAGCTATGGACGAATATCAAAATTTCAATCACCCTGATTCTTGCAAACAATGCAAGAGAGCTTCTATGAGCGCCCGTGAGCACTAACGACGTCGGAATCCAGGTCGTAGATGGAAGTTGGATGAACGAGGACACGAGGAAACGAGCGGATGGCGAGTGAATGTTCGAGATTGAACACGTGGCCGGGGTGTGGCACTGACGATGACGCGGCGGGCCACGACGTTGGGGTAAGTTCAACTTGACAACATGAAGACCGCCAGCCAGAGCGTAGTAGACGACGGCAGTAGATGTAAGCACAAGTTCTCATCAGAGGTGAGGACTGGGTACTGTTATCTTAACGTCGGTGAGTACCAACTGGCTTGGCCCGCTCCGTCGTCGAGCAAAAAAAAAAAAATCGGGCTGCCGGACAGGTCCGGACAATGGACATGCGTACGATACTCCAATCTCAGAGACAATTGCTGATTCTACAAGTGTTTTGTCTGGGAGCGAAAGACTACGATCGTATATCTGGACAAGAGGTAAGACGAACGTCGGCGCGTCCAATCAGATGGCCGTTCCATTTGCTCTGCGCTGGAGCCCAGTGTGCCTCGCTCCAAGCGGAAACTTCTTTCGAGCACATATACGTCCCCTCATATCCTAGTAGGAAATAGGCCGTTGTCAAGAATGGGCGGGTGTGAGGCTCTAGACAAGATGTGGCCCGCGACAGAAGCGAATTTGGCTGACCAAAAAGTTGTTTGTCATTGTGGGTCCACGCATATCGCGTGGCATAGCGACGGGCCACGCTTCCGCTTGCGCATGCGACGAGTGGACTGCTGGCAGTCTTGGTCACTGTCCTCTACGCTGTCGTCCTTCAGGAGAGGATGTATCTTTGCTGTTGACGCGTAAGTCCTTTCTGTATGCCTTCCAGTGCCATCAAATCTAAGATTTCTTTATTCCCTGTAGAAGAATATCGTATCTGGGGCGATGCTATCAAGATATCGTGCCAGGGCCTTCGTCTCACGCCTCTCGCCCACGTTTTCAACCGCTATATCCTTCCCACCGAAACCACCCCTGCCTCGCCATCCTCGGGTCGGCACAGCTTACAAGAACACGAGCGCGTCTACCCATGCTGAGAAGACTCCAGAACCGATTCCGCATCATAAGTCGTCTCGCGCGTTGCCGTGCGTCTTCTCTGCTGCTTTGTTCAACGTCGCTTAGCGCCGTCCTTCAGACCCCGACATGGCGTCGAATCCCTCAGTTCCCCCACCAATCTGGCCTGTCGATTTCAAACAACGAGTGGCTCAAGTGCGTTGGTCGGACGGGGTCTCGTAACCGCATGGCGGGTTCCCTGTATAAATAAAGGGGAACTCGACGCGCACTGGTCCGTCTCATTCCTCCTCTCCAGACTGACCACCACACCGAACATAATTTGTTCGCCCCCCCTCCCCCTCAGACTTCACCTTATCGCGAGACACCTGCTCGCGCCTTATCTTCGGTGCCCCATCGACACCGACACACGCGTCGCCACCAACTTCAATCTCAGTCGCGTCTCCATCAACCTCCACCATGCCCCCCGTCCGTCGCATCACTACGACCAAAGCCCAACGCGAACAGCCCCTCACATATAACCGACGCGCTGCGAAGAGGTCGGAGCAAGAGGTCGAAGCCTCACGCGTTCGTTCGCTCCATCCTTGGTTCATATGCATCCTCTGATCAAAACCTCTCTCAACAGAAATTCCCTTGCCCCGAGCTAGGCTGCGCGCTCGTGTATACCTCCGAGGGGAGTCTCACCAGACACTGGAATGCAAATCACGACCCGAATTTTCTGTCAGTAATCAATTTCTGAACTAGACTGCTAATACTGGAAACTTCTCATCGTCATTACCTTTCGCCTGCAGGGGGTATCAATGTAAATTTTGCGAACACATCTGTTCGCAGAAGGCCCAACTAAAGGTCCACGAAAACACCCAGTACGTAGTTTGCGACAGCTGTATCGAGCAATGTCACTAACTCTAAATGTCTCTTGAAGCACCAAAGAACAAGAATGGGCGTGCTCCCACTGTTCCTACAAGGGCCCTTCCCCATCTGCCTTGTCGAAGCATAAGAGTCGGCCCGGGCGTTGCAAAAAGTATCTCCCAGCAAACTCATCTTCCCCCACGCCTTCGTTGACGAGCTCGTCCTCGTCGTCGACATCCTCTCCACTTCGTACTCCGTCCCCACTCCATACGGTCCCCACCGAGCCTCTCGCCGAACCTCAGGTCTACGGCGGGCACAATACTCTTGGACTGACAGGAATTGACGATCCCTCCCTCGCTTCTTCTTCGCAGGAGAGCGCACAAGACGAACTTGCGAACTTCGATCTCGACCAATACGTGAACGTCAACTTGGACGGGCACAGTGCCTCGGCCTCTTCGTCGTCATCCTCCCCACTCCCCACTCCGTCTCCAGTCCATACGGACACCAGGGTCGATCCTCTTGCCGAACCTCAGGCCTATGAGCCCATCACTCAAGCCGGACTGATAGAGATTGACGAGAGTCCCCTCGCTTCTTCCTCTCAGGTGGTCGCACAAGACGACTTTGCGAACGTCAACTTCGACTGGCAGGGGGCCATGAAAGACGCGTTCGATGTCACCTACGACTACGGCGTCCACGATAGCCAGCCTAGTTTCGCCGAACCGGTCTACAGCGCGGACTACCGTGACAATCTCACTTACAACGGCGGCTGGACGTCATCGTGGCCTGCCCCTGAAACATCGTCGACGTCCCACTCCCCCTCCATCACCAACTTCGGCCACACAGACGCAGTCTCTTCGGCCGCTGGGGTGTCTCACCCAACCAACCAGTCCACCAATGCCGGGGTCGCAAATTGGCTAGCCAATTATAACTCCGCCATCTACCCTTCGAGCTGGAGTCTCAAGGAGCTCTTGGCTTCCTGCTGGACAAATTACGAGCTTGCTTCAAGTGCGATAGAGGGATCTCTATCGATCTATGACACCTACTAGTCGCCATATTGTCTGTCGCGCCCGCCACCAGCCACCTGTGGTGTGTTCTCTCTTATTGATTGCTGTTCTGGTACCTGTTTTCCCTTGCCTTCTTCTCCTCTTCGCTTCATTTCCGCAATGTTTTCTTCGTGTCCTGATCCTCGCATCGTTCCCCGTCATGCCCCCCTTTTCTATTGCTTTCCAAGCACCTATACTGGTAGCTCGTTCGTCTACAACATCTTTATCTTCTCACATATTTGTACTTTTATCCAAGGCTGTGTTATCATCTCGTCTTAGCTTTCCTGACTATCCTCATGCTATCTCTCTTACCGCTCGTCCTCGTCCTCGTTTTGAGCCTGCCCTTCGTATCGTCCCCTGCTCTGCTTTGGTATCGTCCCCCTCTCTGCTTTGGTATCGTCCCCCTCTCTGCTTTCGTATCATCTCCCGCTCTGCTTCCGTACTACTTACCATCTCTCGCTCTGCTGCCGTACTATCATCTCCCGCTCTGCTTTCGTATCATCTCCAGCTTTGCTCTCGTATTGTCCCCCGCTCTGCTTTCGTATCATCTCCTCTATGCTGCCTTTTGCTTTCCTTTTCCTTTTCCTTTTCCATTGCTCGTCGCGCCCCTTGCATCATTGCGGCAGTCTGTTTTTCAGCTCACTCCCCGTACTGTCGTTGCATCGCCGTCAATTGTGTATCATGGCATATGTACTTGGTGTCTGTTGTACGATACCATCTGAGTCCGAGTCGTTGTATTTTCTCCTGCCGTGACTGCTCAGTTTCAATGTTGTTTGAATGTATATCACTTACAATTGTCGCCCACAATTGGAACCCCATCATACCGTCCCACCCCCTGCATGCCATCCAACTCGGCGGTTTGATACACTTCCGATTCTCGAAGGTTCCTTCGATGGCCCAAAACACTCATCGTTCTCATCATCATCATGTCGTTCTTCTTAGTACGCTCTGCCAGTCAGGCTTGCCCTGCCCTCCGAGTCAAGACTGCCAGCAAGCAAAGGCCAAGCCATAAGTACAATCGCTATGAGAATTAGTTCGCCGGACTCTCGCCATCTCTTCCTATCCGCTTGTTTAAGAAACGACGCTGAGCTACCGTTAGTACTAGTACATACATCCGAATCGGAATCCTGATTCTTAACCCTGTGGACACAACTCTCGAGGTGCCACAAAGAGCAGCACGTGACTGCATCGTTCTTTTGTTCAATTCAACTTCAAACTCACAACTCTGGTTACCGGTCCTGCTCTTGGCTACCACCACGACCTCAACGACTTGCCAACAACGTCCACTTTGTTCTTGTCTAATGTGTGTCCGATTAAGAAGATAACTGATCCACGTCTGTGTCTAACGTGAAAGCTTTCACTTGATTTCTCAGAGTCTCTCTTGGCAGTTCAACTAGCCTGTTTACTTGCTGTTTACATCCTTACTAGCCAGCTAGTTTTCGATTCCACGAGTGCTTGCAAGGCCTATAGTTCATCACTGGCAGTACGACCGTAATACATCTAGATACAATTCAGCAAGGGCAGCCTCGATCTCCCGCTAGAACAAAGCATTCTGCCTCAAGGAAGGAAGGAAAGAAGGAAGGTGTTCAAGACAACGCACACAAAGCTCAAATGGAGCGTGTCGGCATCGGTTCGCTTTTTGTCGCCGGCATAAACACCTTTAGAGCACGCGCAAACGATTCGAGCTTTGTTCTCTTTTATGATCGTCTCCATGAAGTTGTGGCTCTATTAATAGATTACGCAGTGAATATTCGCCATTTACGGCCCTCGCTTTGTTCTCGGGTCTCGATCGAAGATTGTACGTGCCAGGTTGCCTAGTGTCTAGTCGCCCTGCCTTTGGCACATTACGTCAAAATGATCCTGTGTGTGCCACAATATATAACGCCGTACGTGCTCTGTCCATCTTGATCCACCCCGCAACCAGCCCGTCTCCTCTGCTCACATCGCTCTCGCTCACCACTTCAGCAATCCTCCAGCCCATAATGTCCCATCCCGAGTTAAGCCCCGAGTTCATTCTCCAAGCCTTGCCAATCCCGACATACATTCCCTTGGGAGAATATCCCAAGGAACCCCAGAGGAAATCCCAGAAGAGTAGTAGGGATTTTCCTTGTCCGGACTGTTCCAACATATATAGATCACCGAGGGACCAACGACGACATCACCTGGTTATACACAGGCCCGAGGAGGCTGAGAAGAAGTGCGTTCCTCAAAGTCAACCGTTCTGTCTCTGTCAATCTTCGACTAAACTAAACTGCATCCAACTTTTGATATCACAGAAAATTTGTCTGCACATTCTCTGGATGCAATCACAAAAGCGCTCAACCCAGCAATCTCAAGATTCACTACCTGACGGCACAGTAAGCACTCTTGTCTCCCCCTCGTTCCATCTAGCGCCCCTGCATATTATTCGACAGTTCATCTCCGAAGCCCTACTGACCGTATACTTATTTCCTTATAGCTGTGAACGCTCCAAAGTTGACCAGCCATGCCCACTCGCAAGTGATGGTTGTACTTGGAGATGGGTTGATACGGCCGCACGAACCCGTCACATGCAGAGAGTCCACAGCCAAAAACCTCATCACCGGCCGGATTACAAAGGAAGGGCGACGCCAGAGACCACGAAACGGAGAAAGGTAGAGTCAACGACACTCTTGGACGATGCGAAGCGAGTGGCTGCAGCGAGGGTTGCCAACCTTCAAAAAGCTCGAAGAGTGCACATCTCGACCAAGCCTGCGATACTACCGACCGAAGCGCCATCCACTGTTACTTCATCTCACCTCGAGTCATCCAGTGCTGCTTCTGCCTCCGGCTCTCCGCTTGCGCTCATATCGTCTTCAAGTCCAAGCTCTCCCGTATTGAACTCCCTCGAAGACACCGTACATTCTACACCGAGCCTCTGCCCTCAGGCCTCTCTGAATACACCTCGCTCCGACTCCTCCGACTCCTTGGACTCGTCGATCACGAGCTTCTTCGAATATAGTGCCAGCTCTGTACCGACTCTTCGCTCTCGCAGGATCTCTTTCCCGTCGTCGCGGTCATCTTCTCCACCATATATACCCACCATTACGGGAAACACTGGATCGTCATCCCCTCTGGTTGTGCAATCGCCTCCGCCTCCGCCTGAGTCGTTCACTGGTATTACTTCGACGAGCATGAGCACACCCGAGCCTACATTCGACCGCAGCAAGAAGCAGCTATTCGCATGAGTAGGGCCACCAAATTCTGGACTCTTGATGCCATTTTAAACCCGGAAATTTATGTACAGTATGCCCTATGCTCTTTATTTAATCCTGTATGCTTTGCGTACTGTGCTCATGGGGCAATGCCATATTATTGCCAACTTTATCGTTTACTATTCGACGCGGGCCCTTTCAGTATTGGGGGCAGATCGACTAAAAAATCCGCACAAATTTCCGGCCTGTTCGTGAGCCGATGAGCAATGTCAAACACGGTAAAGACTGGGCAGCAGTGCGTAAAACGCCGCGCTCGTTTTAGGTGATCGCGGACGAGGAGGGCATCCTCCGCCTCCGGGGGAGGTGACGTGACGTCTGTGACGAATCCGCCTGCCCTAAATAGGGCCCGCCTCGAAGTGGGTTCGTGCCAATTCGCCCTTTGCCCACGCCGTTGCTCTCTCTCTCGTCAAACTCGGTATGTCCTCATCGTCGTCCTCATCGTCGACGCCGTTGCTGACGACAATGACCCCATTACTTCGTATGCGCGCCTCGTCATCGTCGGCGTCGTCTTCGCCCGTCGTGCTGCGCGCATCGCCTCGGGCTGTACGCATCGATCATCGGCTTATAATCCGGCGACGCGTTTATCTTGAATCCTATCATCTCCCTCGACCTCCTACGTCCAGCTTTCGCGTCTCTACTCACTTTTTACTTTCTTCACCCCACCAACTACTTGATCTGCCAAAATGGAGGATGAGGTCGCTGCTCTCGTGAGTATTTCGTTTGTGCCCCTTTCGACGAGGTATAGGGAAGCTGATGCGACTGCTACTCCCATCTAGGTCATCGACAACGGTTCCGGCATGTGCAAGGCTGGCTGTAAGTAGCATTCTCTTGCGCTAAAAGCTTCGCTCGCTGATCAGACATTTCTCTTGTGTAGTTGCCGGTAAGACTCTTCCCCGCTGACGTGGTAAGAGTCGATTAATAACAATGTTTTGGTGCAGGCGATGACGCTCCCCGTGCCGTCTTCCCGTGCGTTTTTCTACACTCATTGTTCAAAACATCCCCACTCAGTGATGTCCCAATAGATCCATCGTCGGTCGTCCCCGTCACCAGGGTGTGATGGTTGGTATGGGTCAGAAAGACTCCTACGTCGGGTATGCTATTCAGCGCCTGCACCGCGTTCTGTGCTAATACTGATCGCGCATCATTCTTCAGTGACGAGGCTCAATCGAAGCGTGGTATCCTCACGTTGAAGTACCCCATTGAGCACGGTATCGTCACCAACTGGGACGACATGGAGAAGATTTGGCATCACACCTTCTACAACGAACTCCGTGTCGCCCCTGAGGAGCACCCCGTCCTACTCACTGAGGCTCCCCTGAACCCCAAGGCTAACCGTGAGAAGATGACCCAGATCATGTTCGAGACGTTCAACGCACCCGCCTTCTACGTCGCCATCCAGGCCGTGCTCTCCCTCTACGCCTCTGGTCGTACCACCGGTATCGTGCTCGACTCCGGTGATGGTGTTACCCACACCGTCCCCATCTACGAAGGTTTCGCACTCCCCCACGCCATCCTCCGTCTCGATCTTGCCGGTCGTGACTTGACCGACTTCTTGATCAAGAACTTGATGGAACGTGGTTACCCATTTACCACCACCGCCGAGCGTGAAATCGTCAGGGACATCAAGGAGAAGTTGTGCTACGTCGCTCTCGACTTCGAGCAGGAGCTCCAGACTGCCGCTCAGTCTTCTGCCCTCGAGAAGTCCTATGAATTGCCCGATGGACAGGTTATCACCATCGGTAACGAACGGTGCGTACCTCTGTTCGTACCATCAGGGGCTACTCGCTGAAATCACTGTTTAGATTCCGTGCTCCTGAGGCCCTCTTCCAGCCAGCCTTCCTTGGTCTCGAAGCTGCCGGTATTCACGAGACGACGTGAGCCTCATATTCTTCTCCTCTCAAACGCCCTCCACTCACTTCATCTTCCTTTACACAGCTACAACTCCATCTTCAAGTGCGATCTCGATATCCGTCGTGACCTGTACGGCAACGTCGTCCTCTCCGGTGGTACCACCATGTTCCCCGGTATTGCCGACCGTATGCAGAAGGAGCTCACCTCGCTCTCGCCGGCGAGCATGAAGGTCAAGATCGTTGCTCCCCCTGAGAGGAAGTACTCTGTCTGGATCGGTGGTTCCATTCTTGCCTCGCTCTCCACCTTCCAGAACCTCTGGTGCTCGAAGCAGGAGTACGATGAGTCTGGGCCGGGTATTGTCCACCGCAGTGCGTATTCCCTTCCGTCTTTCTCTAGCATTCTTCCCTCTCTGCTGCGTTGGGTGAGAACATTCACTGACTATATCTGCTCATCATTGCAGAGTGCTTCTAAGCGCAAACGCCAAAGAAGCGACGGCCTCGCCTGGTGCTTTCGGATTCTGCCCCTCTCCTCCTACCCTCCCACGAATGTTCAGATCACCGTTACCCTCTACTACCTACGCTAGTTTGTTTTGGTTCCCCTTCCCGTGCCTCTTTCTTACCGTCTCGAGATCTCTTTGTTCAGTGTTCATAACGTTCGTGTGGATGTCGTGGAATGAAATGAAATGAGGAATTGAATGAACGAATTAATACCTACGGTGTGATTTGTGCCTGTTGGCAATACCTACTACATTTACAACGCGGTGGTAGTTTCAACGCGTAGGTCGTTGTGCACACTCGGGGTAAGGAGCGAAGGGCAATGGGCTACTGGGATACTTGGTTGTCCCGGAGGGAGGGTTTCCGCAACAAATCCTCCGCTGTGTGTGGGTAAGTACCGGCTCTTGGGGAAGTACATGCACCCTCCTCTGCAATGCTCACAGAAACTGGTTCCCCAAGTCCCTATCGATTAGTGGTTAAATCATCACGTTGTGGTCCTCGATGTTCCATGGTTTCCACATATTCCTACAATCCGTGAAGCCGCCGGCTCGACTCCGGCTAGGGACATATCCATAAAGGTGTAGAACTGTTTTTTTAGCCACTGAAGGAAGTCTATGTGGGATTTCTTTTCTTTTTGTGAGGAAGTCGAGGCTGTGGTGTCAGTAGGAACTTGAACGAGTGCATGGCTGAGCGCTTGAGCAGTCATCGACCCTATTCGCTCGTCTCCTTGTCGAAGAATAAATTGGCTACTAGTAGCGCAATTACAATCATCTTTGACGATCATGCTCAATCCTGATAAACCCCAACACGGATGATTTTCTTTCATTTCTCTCTCTACATATAACTACATCTCCAGCAGGATACCCCGCCAGTTCGAGCATCATCCAGGTCCAAACAGTATTTCATTGACACCAATGTACAGGACACAACCTCAGCCGAATAGTACCTATCCAAGCATCTTGATGATTTTGACTGCTGCAAGGACTCGGTAGTCTCCTAGAGCAGAGTAGCCAACCGTTCATCCGACTGGCGCAAGGATCACTCTGTCTGGCGGACTCGGAGACTTTTGTCGAAGTTTGAGCGGTTGAGCTGTTGGACGACGTTCTTCAACATATCCGACTGCTCCCGGCAAAGCATCGACTCACGACAAGGCACCATTTACCCCAGTTTACCCCGGGTCGAGAGGAACAACGGCAGCGGGGCTAGGAAGGGCCAACTTTTTTTTGTACGGTTCGAGACGCGGAGAGCTAGTTTGCCATGGCCGACTCGGCGAAAGCAGCGTGGCTAAAACGTCGGGCTGAGCGCTCTGTGTTGAAGGTGAGTCTCAGTCGTACGTTTCGTCGTTTCGAGTACTTATGCGCATGTTCATCTACACATTCTTTACGAAGACTGGCCATTTATGCGGTGAATGAGGCCTTCGTCGTGACGGTGTGTGTGAAGGAAGAGATGTTTCCGCCGGACGCGCGGGGCCTATCTTGCTCAAGCTTGAGTCTTATCTGTGGACTGCGTTCCTCCTTGTGGCACCTTTTTCACCTTCCCAGGACCAATGGTCGACCCGATGATGTTGATACAAACTTAGAGAAACAGAACCGGAAGATGGATGCCTATCATATCCACCACTTGACAGTGGTGTCTGGTGGTTTCTCGTTATCTACATCCTTCCGGGCAGCCCATGGCCAGCTCTGCCATACGGCTCTTGTATAAAGAGCAGCAATGATTCCTTGCGCGGGCGGGTTTTTTCTTCTGCTCTAACAGTCGGCATTCCCTCAAGCTCAGCTCCCTGCTTGTTGCTGTCTTCGGTACGCTCCTCATTCTTCCCTGCTAGTCAAGTCGGTTTACTAGATGTACATGCTGACTTTATCCATTCCCCCATTCACTTTCTGTAATTTCATAGGACAAGTCGCTCACATAAACAAACTTGTTTATCGACATCCGCCCTGTCAAGATGTCCGAAGCAGAAGTCATTCCCGAGCTTCCCGCCATCCGCAAGGGTGGCGCCGCGCCGGTTCATGTTCACGCCACCGAAGGGGAGGAGGAACAGGTCGTGATAAAACCACACTGGTACAGATCGACGCTCACACAGTGCGTATTATGTCTTTGTCACACACTCAACGGCATGAGTCGCTCTACTACTACTCCGGGGAACCGATAAATGCATACCAGCTGCATTCTCGGGATGCTCTCTCTCAATATTTACCTCCACTTTCTGCGTAATTTTCGTTCATGTACTCATATCATCCCGTGACGGAAACAGGATCCTCATCGTCGGAGGTGTCTTCTTCTGCTCACCCGGGATGTACAACGCTCTCAACTCCCTCGGTGCCGGTGGTCTCGCCACACCCTGGTACGCCAACGCGACCGCCGCGGCCGGCTACGTCTTCATGGCCTTCATGTGCATCTGTGGTGGAATACTGGTTTCGAAAATCGGACTGAGGAAGTCTTTGATTGTGCGTATCTCTCTTTGCTTCGCTCGAGATCCTCCCTGCGGAGTGGAGCAGGAGATAGTGCGATAGGGAAGAATAGCTCTGATTTATGATTTTTGAATGATTTCCATCCGCAGATCTCGACAACTGGTGATATCATGTACGTCACTGCTTCTATCGCCAGTTTAGTGGAAGGGGTCAACATCCTGATATGGTTGCCCGTTGGTTGTATAGCTACGCTGGCAGCCTGTACCTGAACAGCAAAAACGGAACTCAATGGTTCCTAATGCTTGGTATGTGCCACACTCATATCTCACTTTTTGAACCATAACCACAAGAAAGGATCTAATCTGATGCTTTTTCCAGGTTCAATTTATTCTGGTATCACGTACGTTGTATTTGCGCCATACCGTTTTTTGCAATCTCCAGTACATGTTTCCTGACCGAATGTTTCGTCTGCGTGAATTTGGAAAACAGGGATGGTCTGATGTACGCTGTGGAAGGTGCTATTATCACAGGTAATTTTCTCTCCGCTGAAATGCATCTTTGGTTCACCACGTATTTACTGAGACTTCGACCTGTTTCACTTGAACCTCTAGCGTATCCCGAACCGTCCCGCCGTGGTCGCATGCTCTCCCTTTGGGTGTTCATGCGTTCCGCAGCACCAGTCGGTGCGTACTGTTTCTCGATCCCCACCCTTGCTAATTCAACATTCCTCCCTCCGTCTTATCAACGAACTGACAAAAACTGTAGTTGGCGGTGCCATCATCTTTGGTGTCAACTTCGGGACGAATTCAAGCGGAGGAGTATCATTGAAAACGTACCTCGTCATCATTGGCATCAGTAAGTCTGTTCTTTTCTCCCCTCTCTAACCACGATATGTGCGTAGTGGCTGACCTTGCGTAACTCGTCATATAGTGTGCGCTGGACCTTTCATCGCGATCAACCTTTCTCCACCCAAGAAGGTGCAACGAATCGACGGAAAATCGGTCGTGTTCCGTAAGACCTCCTTCCGGTGCGTCCACCTCTTCTATATATTCAGCGGTTATGCTGATGCCTGGACGTGATGAATTGTGAATGAACACAATAGGCGATCAATGAAGGAGTGGTTCGTTGTCGTCTCGCACCCGAAGATGTGGCTCCTCTTCCCTCTTTTCTTCACTTCCTGGTTCTATGGCTCTTACATCGGTGCGAACCTCTTTCCCTCTATCTATTCTCCCCTCCGACCTGCTTACCCTATGATTGGCTTGATAAAACAGGAACCCTCGAAACTCAGTACTTCAACGTCCGCACCCGCGCACTCACCGCCTTCGTCTCCCCATTCGGCGATATCATCGGTGGTCTCGCGATCGGTTACTTCCTCGACTATCCCAAGCTGACGAAGAACCAAAAGGCGAGATGGTCGTTCATCTTCTTGATGAGTCTCAACTTGGGCCTGTGGTGCGTATCTACACCTCCTCATCCAATCGGTTTCTGGCGGAGGGGCTAGCAGCTATTCAGTAGTGGAGTAACTGACCATGGAATTTCGGCAGGATCTGGACTGCAGTGATTACGAAATGGCTTGAGGACAATCAGCCTTCGCTCGACTGGTCGGACAAGGAGTTCGGCCGGATGTGGGCGCCCCAGATCATGTTCGAGTTCACGACGATGGCCACTCAGAGCTCACTCTACTGGATGGTCAGCTTCCGTACGTCCTACCTCTCTCGCCCTTAATCCCTATTCCCCCAAACTGACTGCCTTCCGTATTTGTGTGTATGATACGTCCTATCAAACGAACGTTTGAACTTGAATGGCACAGTCTCCAGCGACATGAACACCCTCTCCTACATCACCGGCTCCCTCCGTGGCGTCGAATGCGCTGGCCAAGCCGTCGCCTACGGCATCAAATCCACAGACTCATCCGACTGGATCTCCATCGGCCTCAACGTCGGCCTCTTCGTCATCTCCATCCCGCCCGCATGGATGGTCATCAAAGACCTCGGGAAGGAGGGTGTGGATAACCGGATCGGTATCGACTTGGGCAAGGAGGGGAGCGTGGAAAGTGAGGCTGACGCGAAGAAGTTGGGGTATGAGGAGGATGAGAGCAGGAATGAGAATGAGAAGAGTCCTGTTTAGGGGAGGGTGTAATTTCAGGGTGAATGGGGAGGAGGGCACTTCTCGATGGATTCATGTCTTTTTACGCTTATATTGATGTTTAACACGCAAACTGTATAGATCTGCTGGATTCGTCACTCTTGACTCCGGGGATATGGGAGGACGTTTCAGCTTGGCAAGTCAAGGTAAGAACAAAAGTGCTTACCTTCACATTGTGTCGCATACACGCATGCGTTCCGCTGATATCCCATTCAACATGATTCATTGCTCGCGACGGTAGGGAGTTGCAATTGAGGCCGATGAGGCCTTGAGGAGAGGAAGACAATTGATATTTGACTCAGAATTATCTTGAGTAGTAATGTTGACTAGGTTGCGGACCCTTTCAAGTCCCTATCGATTAGTGGTTAAATCATCACGTTGTGGCGTCGCCAATCCGTGAAGCCGCCGGCTCGACTCCGGCTAGGGACATCATTGCTGGTCAAGCCTTTTTTGCTCTCTCCACATAGAGCTCTCCTTTGTGTCGGTGGAACACTGCAAACGGCTCACAGACGCTGCACACCAAGCTTCGGGTGAGGGGTTTCTAGAATGTCGTCAGCTTCCCTGTCAAGGTACAATCGGCCAGTCTTACTATTTGTTGACGACACGAGCGGTCCTCTCAAGTGGCGCCACACAAGGCTCCAATGCACTCCTACTTGTCCTGGGTTATCATCTGCGTTTGAATCATCAAGGTGTTTGTTATGGACTATATTTTTCGTCTTCTATTCTGCTCGACATGTCTGATACCGCAGGAGACGCGGATGTGCAGTCTCAGTTTCTTTTTATTTAACTACATACACATCATCCACTCATATGGCCGGTTGATGAACATTCCATGGACCTGTAGACGTGTCTCGACTCCTTTCGTATTCTCGACTACGGACTACATAGCTTCTCATAGCCTTGGACTGTGCTTCATAGCCTTGCATAGGCTTGTACTATATTTATTAGGTATAGGTTTCCGCCGCGACTACGGACTGGGGCACAGTACGAGGACGACTCAGTCTGACTTACTTATAGGATTCATAGCCTCCTGCGGCTGCGCATGTATGTACTATATAAGGACGACCCTAGTAGAGGGGAGTTCTTTAACCTATTCATCTCTGACTTACCTCGTCTATCTACTCGTACTTGAACTAGTCCTTTCAACAGGACTAGCTTCCCTTATCGATATCAAGAACCTCTGACTGTGTAGAATCGCCACTACACCAGACCTTTGACCTAGAAGCAAGGCTTCTTAGAACACGGCAGATCGCACCTGTGATAGCTATCACACTTGCACCAGAACGCGCGTCCACTCTTGAATCTCTATTCAAGCCTGGACATTACATTTGAATAGGTTCACCAGCCGTCGACACCTCGACCTTCTCCAGGAAGGTCATTCGCCGTCATCCACGGGTGATCACAGAGAAGACGTCCCCG